ATTTTAAATGAAAATTTTTTTAAATAATTGAAATAAACAAAGAATTTTTTTTAATTTTTTAAAATAATCATGTATGTTAATAATTATAATTAAATATTTGATTATTCAAGTTTATTAAAATTGAATTGAAAATAATTGAATTATTTCGAAGAATTTATTAAAATTTCAAAAAATAATGAAATTCTTTCGAAAAATTTAATTACAAATTATAAAAAAATTGAATTATTTCGAAGAATTTATTAAAATTTTAGAAAATAATTATTAAATTCTTTTAAAAAATCTTACCACGAATTAAGAAAAAAATTTAATTCTTTCGTTAAATTTTATTGAAAAATAATTGAATTTTTGCAAAGATTTTACTATTTAAAAAAATAGTTGGAATTTTTTTGAAAAATATTCAAAATTAAAAAAATAATTCAATTCTTTATTCATGAAATTTTATTTAAATTTTGTTGAAAATAATTTCAATTTTTGCAAGAAATTTTGGCAAATTTATAAAAATAATTGAATTCTTTCAAAGAAATGTTATTATTTTTTATAAATATAATTGAATTCTTGCAAAGAATTATATTAAAATTTTTTTTTAAATATAAACAATAATAATTAATTATGTAGTTAATAAGTGAATATATGAAAATATTAAAAAAACGAATAATTTATTTCATATGAAAAAAAAATTTTCTTTAATTTACAATAAATAATGGTGAAGATATTTTTCAAAATTCTTGAGATTTAATTGATAGCCTTCGATATATAAAGACAAGAGAAAAATTGCAGCGGAAATAAATTTTTTTTTTTCAAGAAAACAATTATTTATGTCTGCTAACGTAACTAAAACAAATCGATAACGATTATTTTAATGAAGAGAAAAAAGATTTTTTTTTTTCTTTACTTTTCTTTGTTGAGCTAAAAATAAAGATTCTTCTTATGACTGACGAAGCTCAGAAAAAATAGAAAGAAACAATGGCATTCAAATTAGAAGCAAAAGTGGTTAATTTGCTAGGAAAAATTTCTTTTCAATATTATTATTATATTATTATTATTATTATTATTATTATTATTATTATTTTTTTTTTTTTTTTTTTCTTTTATTCATTTTTGAATAATTTCAGATTTAAAAAAATTTTTTTAAAAAATGTTTGTAATTTTAGAAAATTATTTGATAGAATTTTATTTTCAAAAATTTTAATGAAATTTAATGCAAGATATTTAAATTATTTAAGATTTATAAAATTATAAAATTTACAAAAATTATAACAAATTACGTAAATAATTAATATAAGAAAATAAATTTAAAAAAAAAATGTTTGTAATAAAATAGTAAAAAAAAAATGAAATTATCATTTCCAAAAAAGTATCACATTGGGTGAAATAAAACAAAAAAGAAACAATTCGAGAAAGCATAAAAATTTCCTTCTTTGGAAAAGTGAAAATTCTATTTCATTTGGAGTTGTTTTTAAGTATCTGATGACATTTAAATTTTGTGTAATCGAGAATGACCTTTTTGTAAATTTTTTACTATCAAATAATAAATATATGGCTCATCATTAATAGTCAACTTTTTTAAAAATTCAAATTTCAATTTGATGATTGATGAATACATAACTTTTTTTTTTTATTTATTCTCATTAATATTTTCACGAGAATATTTTATAACTATATATTAATAAATTAAAAAGAAATAAAATAAAATTCTTTTCTCTTTTTCATAAAAAAAATTGCATTACTTTAAATCTGATGAAAGTTGAAATAAAAAAATCATTCTAAAAAATTTTAAAAACATTTTTTGTCAATAATTCAATTATTTTTACAATTAATTGAAAATCTTCACTGAAATTCAATTATTTTTAGAAATATCTATTTTAATTGAATTTCTTAAAAAAATTTCATTTATTTAAAAAAAATTTTTAATAAAATTCTTACTAAAAATTCAATTATTTTCACGAATAATAAAAAAACCCTAACTAAAATTCAATTGTTTTCAAAACTAATTAAATTTTTCACAGAAATTCAATTATATACAGTTTTGAAGCTAATTTTTCAAAAGAATTCAATTATTTTCATATATATATATAATAAACTTCATCTCAAGAATTCAATTATTTTTAATATAGTTTTAATTAAATTATTCGAAACTAATTGAATTATTTTAATAAATTTTAATAAAATTCTTCAAAGGAATTCAATTACTTTCACAAATAAAATTCTCTAAAGAATTCAATTATATTGAAAAAATTTTAATGATTTTTCAAAAGAATTCAATTATTTTGAAAAAATGATATTTTTCGGGGAAATTCAATTATTTTCCATATAATTTTAGTATTCAATTTTTTTAGAATTCAATTATTTTAGAAATCAATTATTTTCTTAAATATTACAATTTTTTAAATAAATTCAACTATTTAAACATTTTTTTTAAAATTCAATTATTTTCACAAATATAATAAAATCCTTCGCCATGTTTCAATTAATTTTAATACAATTTTTAATTGAATTCCTTAAAATTTTGATTACCAAACATTCTTCGAAAAATATAAAATATTTTCAAAAATTTTGATAAAATTTGGTTAAAAGAATTCAATTATTTTCATAAACAATAAAATTCAACGAAAGAATTCAATTATTTTCAAAAATTTTAATAAATCCTTCGAAACAAATTCAATTATTTTTTTAAATAGTAAAATCTTTGCAAAAATACAATTATTTTTCAATAAAATTTCACAAAAGTATTAAATTTATTTCCTTAATTCGTTAAAGAATTTTTTGAAACAATTCAATTATTTTTATAAATAATATAGTAAAATTCTTTCTAAAAATTCAATTATTTTTAAAACAATTTTAATAACATTTCATGAAAAAATTCAAATTTTTGTTAATTATTTATCATATTTTTCGAAAATATTCAATTATTTTCTAATATTTTAATAAATCCTTCGAAAGAATTCAATTATTTTTTTTGAATACTAAAAACTTTTCAAAAATTCAATTGTTTTCAATAAAATTTAACGAAAGATTTGAATTTTCCTCTAATTCGTTGTGAAGTTTAAAAAAAAATTCAATTATTTTCTAAAATTTTAATAAATCTTTCGAAAAAATTCAATTTTTTAAAAATTTTTAATAAAATTATTCAAAAATAATTGAATTATTTAAAAACCTTTTTTTTATAATTAGTTACAAAAATTGAATTATTTTCATAAATAATAAAATTCTTTCAAGAAATTGAATTACTTTTAATAAAACTATTTTGAAAAAATTTCAAGAGAAAAAATAAAATTCAATTATTTTTCTAAAATGATGCTTTTTGGAGAAATTTAATTATTTTTAATAAAGTTTAAATAAAATTCAAATAAAATAAAATTTTCTAAAGAATTCCATTATTTTGAAAAAATTTTAATAATTCAATTATTTTTCTAAAATTATATTTTTCGGCGAAATTCAATTATATTTAACATAATTGAATTCTACAGAAATTCAATTGTTTTCATAAAGATTAAAATTTTTTACATGAATTCAATTATTTAATAATTTTTTTAGAAAATTCGTAGCAAGAATTCAATTATTTTTACAAATCATATAATTGTCGGGTAAAAATTCAATTACTTTTAATAACATTTAAATAAAATAAAATTCTCTAAAGAAATTAAATTATTTTGAAAAAATTTTAATAATTTTTCAAAATAATTCAATTATTTTTCTAAACCCATATTTTTTGTCGAAATTCAATTATATTTAACATAATTTAATTTTACAGGAATTCAATTATTTTCATAAAGATTAAAATTTTTTACATGAATTCAATTATTTATCAATTTTTTAGAAAATTCGTAGCAAGAATTCAATTATTTTTATAAAGTTTTAATAATTTTTCAAAATAATTCAATTTTTTTTCTAAAATCATATTTTTTGGAGAAGTTCAATTATTTTCATAAATATTAAAATTTTTTACATGAATTCAATTATTTAACATTTTTTTTTTTTAGAAAATTCGTAGCAAGAATTCAAGTAGGTATTTTTATAAATAATATATTTCTCATGTAAAAATTTAATTATTTTTGATAAAATTTAAATAAAATTCAAGTAAAATTTTCTAAACAATTCAATTATTTTTTTAAAATGATATTTAAACTTTTACTTAGAAATTTTTTTTCATGAATTAAATTTTTAGAAATAAGCAACTATTTTATGAATTACTTAGTTTTTTATTTAAATATTAATAATAAAAATAAAAATAAAAATAAAAATAAAAATAATAATAATAATAATAATAATAATATATTAATTTTTTATTTCGCTACTTATTTATTTATTATAATATAATATAACAGAAGAAAATAGACCAAACAAATAAATGTAAAAATCATTTCTTTTTCTTTTTATAATTAATATTTTTTATTTTGTAAATAGAAATTTTTTATTCTCACAAAAAAATTATTGTAAATATTTATCAAAATGTAATAAAATATAAAAAAAGAAAATATAATTAATTATAAATATAAATAAATAAATGAAAAAATAAATGAAAAAATAAATGAAAAAATAAATAAATAAATGAATTAATAAAGGAATAAATAAATTAAGTAATTAATAAATAAATAAAATAAATATAATAAAAAGTGTAATATTTCCGCAAAAAATATTGAATTCGAACCAGAAAAATTTCCCATCATAAATAATTTTATTATTAAAAAAAAAAGAGCAAGTTTCGAATTAAAAAAAGGGCCTCTATTGTCATTTTAATATTGTTTTAATGAAAATGAGTGTAAATGAGAGTATTGCAGAAGGTCGAATAATTGATGAAGGTGAGTGGGTGGGAGGGGGGAGGGAGGGAGATGGGAATTATTGTATATGTGAGCCTGAGGAAGACTCGTAAATCTTTAAAAAAGGTGAAAGGTGAGAAATGAGAAAGAATAAACCCGAAAGATATTGGTCAGTGAAATTTTTTTTTCTCTCTTTTCTTTTCTTTCTTACTACATTTATTTCTTTTTTTATTTTTTTGGCAGTAGGAGAAGCGAGGACCGGACTATAAAATAAGGTTCGATTCAGACTCGACACATCAGTCACTTCTTCTCTCTCCTTAAGAGAATTCATCCCAAAAAAAAAATAAAATTCGCGCACTATAATCAAAAATGAAAATGGTATGTATTCTCTTTATAGGAAAAAAATTAGTGTTTTTTTTTCTTCAAAAAAATTAGAGTGAAATTTTTTTTCAACAAAAAAATAAAAGTGAATTATTTTTTTTTCTTAGAAAAAAATTTTTTTTTAAATTTTTAAGTGTTTCGTTATTTTCGTGTAAAAAAATGTTTATTAATTTATTCTTTTTTCGTTTAATTAATAAATAGTGCAAAAATAGTGAAAAAATTTTTCCCCAGTGCCTTTGAATAAAATCGCAAAAAGTGAAATTATTTTTTTTATTTGTTAAAAAAAAATCAGAAGTGATTGTGAAAAATTTGCAAAAAAAGGATTATTATTTTTTTATTCCAGTAAAATTATATTTAACATTAAAAAAAAGAGTGAAAAACATTTTCAAATTTATTGTAAAGCTTAATTAATTATTTTAAATATTCTTTTAAATAATTCAGTTATTTATTTTATCATATTTTAATTTTTATAATTATCTCCTGTTTGACAAGTTAATAATTATTCTTTATTACAAAGAATTTACTAATTAATAAAAAAAAATTTTGTTTAACATTATTTTAATTATTTATAATTATTATTATTTATATTTCTCTATTATTATTTTATTTTTATGGATTATTTTTATTTTTTTTATTTCTATTTATTATTTTTTAATTTTTATTACTTTCCCTTATATTTTAAATAATAAAATATATTTTAATTGACTTTTTCATTTATTTTCAATTTCAATTCATTTATAATTTACAAATAAATAAATTGTCTAAAGTAGTTCAATAAATTTCCAAATTTAATTTTTTCAATCTTTAAAATTAAATTTAAATTTAAACAATGTAACAAAAAATTTCTGATTCTATAAAAAAAAAAATTTTTTTTCAATTTTATAAATTTTTGTGTCTCAAATAATTAGATTTTTTATATTAAATTCTAAATTTAAAATTTATTAGAATTTAAATTAATTTCAATTAAATTTTTAAAAAATGATAAATTGATAATTTCTAAATTTGTGGAACGAAATTGAAAAATTATTATTATTATATTAATTATTATTATTAACTGTAAATCAATAATTTTTTTATTTAATTAATATTAACGGGATTAAAAATAAAAGAAAATAATAATATTGTTAATAATATTTAATCATACTTAATTTACTTAATAATAATAAATAATAATAATAATTATAATAAATAATAATAAAAATAAATAATAATAATAAAATAAATAATAATAAACAGAATATAATAATTATTATATTTTATATTCTTATTATATTTTATTATTTTTATTGTTATTTGTTTCTTTATTAAAAAACAGTTTTGTTTCAATGAAAAATTTTCTTTTGTTGGTTCGCATAATACAAAGTTTCAAAATTTTCGCTTTATTCGTTAAATTTTTTTTTCTTTAAACACCCGTGTGAATAGAGCTTAAGAATAACAAATTTTTTACTTCGAGAAAGTAAATTCAAACTTCCCAACCCTGACAGTTGTGAATAAAGCCTTACATTACAGTGTGTAGTGGCCTTAAATTTTAAGTAGAGTTCACACTCCTGAAAATATATTTTTTTTAAACTTGTCTTTCCTTTGTTTTCTCAACAAAATTATTCACCAACTAATATTTATATTTATTTAGTCACAAAAATAGCATTTTTTCTTTACTTCAACTGAATTTAAATTGAATTAAATTTATTAAATTAAATTGAAATTGAATTAAAATTAAGTTAAATTTAATTTATTTATTAAACTAAATTGAAATTGAATTCAATTTTAGTTAAATTTAATTTATTCATTAAATAGAATTGAAATTGAATTCAATTTTAGTTAAATTTAATTTATTCATGAAATAGAATTGAAATTGAATTAAAATTAAGCTAAATTTAATTTATTTAGTAAATTAAATTTTAGTAAAATTTAATTTAATTTTTATTATTATTTATTATTATTATTTATTTAGTAATTTATTAATTAAGAATAAGAATTGAATTGAAATAAAAATGTCTTTTTCAATTCCAGATCTTTGTCTTTGCCGCCATCTTGGCACTTGCAGCAGCAGCGCCACAAGGCCAACGTCAACAGGACGTTGTTGTTGTCAAGGAATTATTACACAACAATATTGGACTTGAAGGCTATCAATATAATTACGAGCTTTCAGATGGACAACAAAGAGAGGAATCCGCAGAATTAAGGAACGCTGGAACTGAGAATGAAGCAATTGTCGTGAGAGGATTTTACTCCTGGGTTGATGCTAATGGACAACAACACAGAATTGATTACACCGCTGACGAAAATGGCTTCCATCCCGTTGGCTCAGATATTCCCGTTTAAATACTCCCCCCCCCCCACTCCCTTGCCCCACCACCACCGATTTTGTGATTCCTAATAAAAGATCTTTTTTATTTTCATAAAAAAAACAAATCATGTCTTTTTATTCAAATCCATCTATAAAATTTAAATATTTTTTGAGTATTTAATTTTATAACCTTAAAAATTAATTTTTTTGCATTTTAATTTTATAACCTTAGAAATTAATTTTGGAAATAATTAATTACTAATTAACAATAATAAATTATTAACAATTAATTAATAACTACCAATAATAAATTAATAATTAATTGATAATTAACAATAAATAACTATTAACTAATTAATAATAAAATAATGGATGTCATTAATTAATAATTAACAATAATAAATTGTTATTAATTAATTAATAATTAACAATAATTATTATTAATAATTAATTGATAATGAAATAATTTATCAATAATAAGATAATAATTATTATTAAAATAATTCAGGTACTTCTGGATAGTTTTTTACTATTGTGACATTTATTTAATATATTCACAACGTTAAAAATAAATAATAATTTTAATAAACGTTAAAAATAATAATTAATAAACAAAAGATTTTTAAATTATAATATTTATAAATTATAAATATTAATAATATTAATTAAAAAATACTTTTCTTATTAGAATAATAATAAAATTCGTTGCTTTTTAGAAAATAAAAATTATTTTTCAACACTTAAAGTAAAAACACATTTCTTAATTTTAATTTCGTAAGTAAAAATTTACGATTTAGAAATTCGCGCATTCATTAGCAGCGTAGATAATTTTGTCTTTTCTTGTTTCCAAAGAACAACTTTACAAACGAAAATACATGGGGAAAAACAAACTAAATCGCAAAAAGAAAATGTGGAATTACCTTAAATTATTTCCGAGGAAACCTAAAAAATGTGAACTTGCCTTTAGGCTCCATTTATTCATGATTAAAAATCGCGCCAAAAGTCACCGCAACGTGTGACTCGTGGTCGCGGTCGCAAAAAAAATTACGAATCCTCAAAATTTTCGGTTAACAATAAATATTTTTAAACATAATTAACTAAAAAAATTGTATGAAAAATAAAATCATAAGTAGATATTAAATAAAATTACTTAAATTCCACTCACCAATATTGTAGAAAAAACCTCGGCGGAACGTTGCTGAAAAATGCCTTCCTTAGGGGGAGGGGGGGGTGTCAATTCATAGATTATTCCAAATCATATCTTTTTCCTGTCATCCAATCACCAAAACTGACAAAAATATTACCTCGTTAAGTATTTGTTTCTTGATGAGAAATTTACACCTTGCGCGCATGAATGATATTTTACTGATTTGTTTCGGAAAAAAAAACCACGCAAACACGAATTATTTGTATATTTTTAACACTCCCGACAATACGATCAAATAATTACGCAGTAAAAAAATACTTGTTAATCGACAATAGAACGCACGAATTTTAAGGATAAAATATAATTTCGAGCACTCCCGGAAACGCGCACTTGACACAAAATTTTGAGGTTAGAATCGACAAAAAGAATATTACGAACAAAATTCTTACGAAATTATCTGGAAAAAATGAAATACGACACGGAAATAAATAGTGGACTTGATAAAGAAACGTTAAATATGTGAATATTGAGAGTAGAAATAATTGCAATGGAAATTAAATGCAAGTTTTTATTTTTAATAAAAAAGCTCACTGCTGATTGCTGCTTGTATGACGCACTGCTGCCAACTGTCGCTATTGCAGGGTTGGGTGCGCAAGTGCGTAATAATTCGGCAATGCAGGGTTGAAAACGTTACTACTTTATATGCAGGGATGGGTGCGTAAAATATCTCGTCTTTTTGTAAGCAGGGTTGGGAAGGTAACGTACACTATATTAAAAATAAAATAAATAAATAATAAATATAATATATTTGATACCCAACCTTGCATAAACACACGTTAATTATTTATTATTTTTCTTATTATTATTAATCATACGATTATCATTATTTTTATTTTTGTTATTACTATTATTATTCTTTTCATTATTATATTTCCTTTTTTCTTGAAAATAAAATTAATTACAATAAAAAATAGTAAAAACTATATTTTTTTCAGTTCCAAAAACATAAAAAAAAAGTTGAAAATAAAATAAAACAACTTCAGAGTAGAAGAGCAGAGAATAATAATAAAAAATATTTTCGAGTAAAATTATCATAATAGAATTGAAAGATAAACAAAAATAGTTGTTATAATAATATTGAAGGCGAATATTTTGCCCTGGCAACAAAATTAAATGACGTTACTCTAAATTGTAATCATTTCCATGAGAATATTATTTTTCACTCCGTTAAACAAGATTTTTACGAGAAATTAATAAAAAAAGGAAATTTTGACAAGAGACTTGACGCTTTGTCAGTTTTTGATTTAAGCGTCCAAGATTTTGTGGATAGGGAAAAAATCTCAGTTACCGACTGCGGAAAGTAATAATTTTTTTTTTCAACTAAATAACAAAATTGTGAAAATAAAAAAATTATGGAAAAATTGCACCAAAAAGAAAATTAATTTTAAAAAAACAATTTTTTTCAGTGCTCAAAAAAATACAATTAAATTATTGGAATTTCATCAGAGTAGCAAAAAATCAAAGAATCTATTCACAAAAAAGGAAAATCAATTTGTTTTTAATTTCCAACATTTTTTGAATACAGAGGAAATTATTGACGCTTATTCAACAATAAAATCAAATTACAGGTGAGAATTGTTATCGAATTTATTAATAAAAAACGTATTTTTTTATGAAAGAAGATTTCTACTTTATCAGTCAATAATTATTAATAAAAAACGCATTTTTATTAAAGAAGATTTCTACTTTATCAGTCAATAATTTTATGAAAGAAGATTTCTACTTTATCAGTCAATAATACTCAATCGTTTCTACCCACGTTAAATTATTATTTTATTTAATAATTTTTAATCAATATTAAAAATTTGCTTACTAATTTCATTTATTATTCTAAGAAAAACAGAATATTTTTTATTTTTAATTATCAGGGTGCAATCGAGAAAATTAAATAAAAAGAAACTTATTACCGCTCTGTCGGTAACAACGAATTCGGAAGATAAAAATTCGAATTCAATTGAAGTGGAGTCGGTAAAGGAATCTACCGAAGATGTTAAATCTGGCTATTTTGCCAGACAGGTATTGAAAAATTAAATAAACAGCGATTGAATAAATAAATAAATAATTAATGATAATAATAATAATAATAATAATAATAATAATAAATAATAATAATAATAATTATAAAATTGGAAGACTTACCATCGGTCGGTAATTTTCAGTAGGTTGATAACCTCCGAAAAATCCTACTTTACCGACTGACGCTATATCAGAATTTGCTTATAATTACTTAATATGTAATTTATTATTAATAATAATAAAATTAATAATCAATAAATTATAATTTATAATAATAAAATTTATTTTCAAAAAATAAGACAAGCAGTCATGAGAGATCGCCGAAAATTGGTCGAAATCAACAAATAAAGAGAATTTCCGCCACTAAGAATTTTGTCTACGATTTCGAAAATCCACTAAATTTGATAAATGTCGAAAAGAAAAATCCAAATTTAGAAGCCACGGCAAAAACTGTCAGTATGTAACTAATTTTATTTAATTCTTCAGAAAATTTTGTTAATTTTGTCCTTTTTTAAATTACTCCACAATTTATTAATTTTTTTAGTAAAAGTTTTGTCGACTGTCGATATAGTAGGTAACTTTACATTTTTAGTTAAAGACTCTTATAAATAATACTCTTAAAAATAAAATTTTTGTAAATAATATTTTTATAAATAAAACTTTTTATAAATAATATTTTTATAAATAAAACTTTTTATAAATAATATTTTTATAAATAAAACTTTTTATATATAATATTTTTATAAATAAATCTTTTTATAAATATTTTTATAAATTAAACTTTTTATAAATATTAATAATAATAAATAATAATATTTTATAAAGTATTTTTGTAAATAAAAAAAAAATTATTTCACACAGATTCGAAGGTGAATCAAAAAGGAAAATTATCAACTCTTCCCTCTGTTTTCCAGCAGACGAATTCAAAGAATGATGCAAAAAAGAGAAATCTCAATTATCGACCACCGATTAATCAATTACCATCAATATCGAACAATTTTAATATAAATTCACGAAATAAATTAAAATTAAGTTCGATAAATAGAAAAATTGGTAAAATGTGTTTTAAATTTCGCGCGCAAATTTCCATTTATTCAAAAACTGCCTTACCGACAGTACATATAAAATGTTAAAATTTCTTAAATTAAGGGCATTCGGGAGAAAATAGCAGGTTTCGTAAAGTCCTTCTCATTTGAAAGGAAAAAAACTTTTTTGAATCGGAAATTTTTGAAAATAGCAGAGAAAGGTGTAACGACTGTGGCTCTTCTCGATATTTTGCATAATTTTTCTAAATACCTACCGAAAAAATGTTTTAAATATAAATTCGTAAATGTAGATTGAAATCGAGTGAGATAAACAGAAAAATTAGTAAAATTTGTTTCAAATTTCGCATTTCAATTTCTGCTTTCAAAAACTACTTTACCGACAGTGCATAAAATGTTAATTTCAATTGAAAGATTAAGAAAAAAATTCTTTTTAAGGGGGGGGGGGATTTTTTTCCGGATGCTCTTAAAATTAAAAAAATCAAATGGTAAAAATGGTAAATAGTTTCAAATTTAGCGCGCAATTTTCCTTAAAATCTACTTTACCGACAAGTACATAGAGTGGAAACTAACCTTGATTTTTTTTCTCCCTCTCCTTTCTCGCAGATGAAAAATCTATAAAGCCATCGTCCACAATGAAATACGAGTCAAATTGGCAAAAAATACGTCAACAGGGAAATCTCCCCAAAAATATTGAGCCAATTAATCAGAAAAATGACAAAATGAAAAATATTCACGAAAATTTCGAAAAATTGAAATTAACGGAAACTTTACCCAACGATAAAAATAGTAAAAAACCCAATTTTCAAAATCTTTTGAAAAAAAATTCAAAAACAGAACAAACTTATCGTATACCAAAAATTACCGACACTACAGAAAAAAGTTATTTAAAAAAAAATTTCCAACTCGATGGTAAAAAATCCCAAAGCACTGAGGATGAATATTTTGCTAAATTTGCCCAAAAAATGGAGAATTTAAAAGAAGAGTCGAAAAATGAAAAAAGCTCCTCACTAAATAAGGAGGAAATCAATGATTTATTTAGAGAAATTAATATTTTCGAAACTGGTTTTAGGGAAATGGGGAAAAAAAATTTGCCGACTGTCGATAAGGAAGTACAATCTTCAAATCGACTGAGTTTTGAGGAGAAGGAAAAAATTGTGAGGAAACTTTTACCAAATGAATTGCATGTCGATGGAAATAATGATGGGAATTTTTCGAAGGAAATAAAAAAGAAATTTACCCATGAAAATAATTCTGAAGTCGACATGTTGTCGAGAATTTTGAAATCTGATTATTTAAAGCAACAATTGAATCTTTAAATTTTAATTTTGTCGATAATGTAGAGATTTTACTACATTTTTGGTATAAAAAAATTATTTAAAAAAATGTAATTTAAGAATAAAATTTTTTTAGTTCGTAAAAAAAATTTATTTTGTATTCGAAATTCTTTTTTTTATTTTTTCAAATACAGTTTTTAACTTAAATTTTTTCAAAAATAGGTTTTAATTGAATTATTTCAAAAATAGTTTTGACTAATTTTTTCCAACAAGTTTTTACTAAATTTTTCAAAAATAATTTTTAGTTAATTTTTTCAAAAGTTTTTATTGAATTATTTCAAAAATAGTTTTTACTAATTTTTTTCAAAAATAATTTTTACTGAATTGTTTAAAAAAAAAAGTTGTCACTAAATTGTTTTCAAAACAATGTTTAGTAAAGAAAATAATAAAAAAAATTCTCTTAATCTCAGGAGATAAAATATCAAAGAAAAAAAATTCTGTACAATTTTTCCTGTCGAAGATCAAAAGTGCATTTTTCTTTGGACAACGAGAAAAAAAACAATAATATTCGTAAAAAAAAACTTACTCCTAGCAAAGAATTTTTCAAATAAAATTTTTCATTTCTAACAAAATCATTCAAGTTTCGTTTAAATATAAAAATAAATTCGCTATCTAACAGTTTTGTATTTAAAACACAAAAAAAAATAAACTTTCTTTCATTTCAAAACTCGAATGAGAAACACAACCTAACAGCAAAAATATTTTTTGCGAAAAAGAGTTTTTTCTCTTTTCTTTTTGCTTCTTTCGATAGAAAAAGTTCTTTTTTTTCAAAACAAAAAAAAAACTTTTACTATTTCTTCTCAAAGAAAACAAATAACTAAACAATATATTAATATTTTCGAAAAATAAACCAAATTTGTTTTTTTTTACCATACTCCTTCTCTTCTCTTCTTTCTAAATTCGAAAAACTTCCATATTTCTCTCTATCTCGAGATCATTCAAAAAATCTGTACTTGGCAGTAGTCCATCAAATAAACGACCAGCGCAACCTGTAGAACCATTTTTCTTTTTTGAAAAATGCTCGTAGGGATTTTTTGAATTTATCAATTTTCCGCACAGCCAGCAAAACATTTTCTTACAATAACTGCACGTCATTTTATTGCAGCCATCGACTCTTGTTGTGAATGTTAAACAATTGGGACAAATTTTCGAATTTTCCTGCAAAAAAGCAAATCAAAAACAAACAGAAATAAATCATTTGAAAGAAAATCAAAACATCAGAAAAAATAAAATTAAAATTAAATAAATAAATTTAATACCTAATCAAACAAAAATAAAATTGTATTTAAATAAATTAATATTTCATTCAATTTAATAATCAAATAAAAATAAAATTATATTTAAATAAATATTTTAGTGAATTTAATAATCAAATAAAAAGTAAAATTATATTTAAATAAATATTTCAGTAAATTTAATAATCAAACAAAAAGTAAAATTATATTTAAATAAATATTTTAGTAAATTTAATATTAATATACAAATTTAATTTAACTATTAATGTAAAATTATTCGACAACATCAATAACTTCTTATTTAAATAAATACTTAATCATTATTATTTTTCTATAGGAATTAAGAATTTCAAATCCAAACCTTCTGAAATTAACACTTATAAAAAATTGTTATAAAACATCAAGAAATCGATCAAAAACGAGCAATCGATTTCTTCACGTTTTACAATAAAATTTAAAATGACAGAGTGATAAAATCATTATTTTATATTATAAGAATATTGCAACTATAAATTTAAATTTTCAAAGATTTTCATTTTTTAACCCTTTTCAAAATTCACTTATTTATCAAAATTCACGCGATGATGCTTTTAATATTCAATTATAATTTCGAATTTTAAGTGAAATTCATTTTTAATCAATTTTTATTAGAAAATTTTTCGAGAATTCAATTATTTAAATACAAAGATAAATAATTTATTAAATAATTGAATATTTCTTTAAATTGAATTTTTTTAAAGAAATTTATAAAAAATTCTAAAAATAATTGAATTCTTTCGGCGAATTTTAAAAAAATTATAAAGAATAAATGCAATTTTTTATCAGTTTATGTAAAATTGTACATAAAAAATAATTGAAACTCTGCTATAAATATTGTTATTTATAAAAGTAATTTAATTCTTGCAACGAATTTTATTAAAAAAAATTTTTAAAGAATTGAATTCCTGTGAAGAATATTTTATTTGTGAAAATAATTGAATTCCAGAGAAAAATATTATTTATGATATTAAATTAATTTCTTGTGAAGAATTTTATTCAAATTTTTTAAATAATTGAATTTCTCAGAATTTTTTATAACATTTTAAAAATAATTAAATTCCATCGACAAAATTTCATTAAAAAATTGAAAATAATTGAAATCTGACGAAGAATTTTATTAAATTTTTTTTAAATGATTAAATTCTTGTGAAAAGTTTTATTTTTTAAAGAAATTAAATTCTTAGAAAGAATTTAATTAAAATTTCTTAAATAATTGAATTGCTTCGAAGAATTTCATTTTTTAAGAAAATAATTGAATTGTTTCGAAGATTTTTACAAACTTGAAAATAATTGAATTCTTAAGAAGAATTGTATTGAAAATAATTGAATTGAATAGGAAAATTTTATTAAAATTGCAATTTTATTAACAAAATCTTGTAAAGAATTTTGACAAAATTTTTTTTAAAATAATAGAATTTTTAAAAGAATTTTATTTAAATTTTTCGAAATAATTGAATTTCTCAGAACTATTTTTTTCTATTCTTTGGATATATTTGAATTCTTTGGATAAACTTCATTATTAAGAATTAAAAATAATTGAATTGGTGCGAAGAAATTTATAAAAAATTGGAAAATAATTGAATTCCTGTGAAATTTTTATTAAAATTTCGTTTAAATAATTGAAATCTTTTGGAAAATTTTATTAAAATTTCGTTTAAATAATTGAATTCTTTTGAAAAATTTGATTAAAATAGTATATATTAAAAATAATTGAAATGAGGAAAATTTTTGAAAATAATTGAAATTTTGCTAAGAATTTTATTAATTTTTTTGAAAATAATTGAATTTCGGAGAAGAATTGTATTATTTATAAAAATAATTGAAATTTTGACGAGAATGTTTATAAATTTTTGAAAATAATTGAATTTCTGTAATTAGTTGTTCTTGAAATTTCTATTTAAATTCGTTAAAAATTGAAATTTTTAAAAATTTCATATTGAAGCCTTTGAAGTTGATCTATTTATGCAGATTTGAAACGCAACTCTTTTGAAATATAATTAATTTTGAAAATTTTGAAGTAAAATTATTCATTAAATAATTTTTGAGTAATAATTTGATGATAGTTGTTGAAGAATGAAGTTATTTAAAAAGAAATTATTGTCAGAAACAGAAAAAATTGAAAGTTTTGTATTAAAATTCTTGTCAATTTCATAGTTTGTGAGGCAAACAAAAAAGACATCAAAATTCAGAATTTCTTTTATAAATTCTAAACATTTAATTTTTTCCAGTCCTTTTAATAAAAATCTCTGAATTTTTCCTGATTTCTTTACCTAAATTCTACTTTCCCTGACTTTTTCCTGAATTTCCTAACCTGTGGCAACCCTGAAAAAAGAAAAAAATATTTACCTTTAAATAATTATTTGTCAACGATTGCTCGACTATTAATTCAATTTGCTTTTTGCCGTGACGTAATTCCAGATTCTTTTTCTCACTGTTCGATGCATGCTGATAGTCGGCAATTAATTTTTCCTTATCTTGATTTGTCATTTCACAGGGTGAAACGCCGTGATACACCTTAAATAGATAAATTCAAATTATTCTCCTACAATTATAAAAATAAATCAGATATCAAATTGGAAGATCTTCAATTAAATTACCTTTCAACCTTAATTTTCATGCACTTTTTTCTCAAACTTTGATAATTCTTAGTAACTTTCTCCAGTGTTAATATTTAGAACTATTCAAAAATTAAATTAATATTTGTAGAATATATTTTTTTGAAACATAACGTAATTTTAATATCAGTAAATATTTTTATGCAAATATGTAAATAAAGTAAAGATAATAAATAATTATAATTATTAGTTAAAACATTTATACTGAAAACTTCTTCTCAAATTCAATTATTTTGAATAAATAATTTTTGAAAAAGTCCTTTGAAGAATGTTATTATTTATAAATAAATAAATATATAAAAATAAATATAAAAGAAAATAATAAATACCTTTCGACAGAAAACACAAAAACTGTACTCGCACTGTGCGCAAGTAGCTAAATTATCATTTAAATTTTCCCTTATTACCGGATATCCGCAATATTTCCTCGCACATTGAACAGTATCCTCCATAAGATCAATCGTCCTTTTCAACAATAATTGTTCATACTTTTGAAATTGCTTCGCATTGCACAATTGTTTGATCTCATCGTAATCAATTTCCATTGTGCAATCAATTTTCGGACACAATATTCTCGTAACATTACCATCGCTAATGCGTGAATTAAAATACTCGCCAAGGCATTGACGACAAAATACGTGTCGACATTTATTCACTTCAATACAATGCTGTCCATTATTTTGTTCAAGGCAAATTTCACAAAAATGCATTACTCGCGTGAATTGCTTTTTACATCTCATTTTATTCTCCCTTTGAAAATAATCCAATGGATTACGTTTTATTGGCTTGACAACGCGTGGATCGCGTAAATGTTTTATCATCTCATTCAATTGTTCATCATCATCATCATTGTCCTTAAAGTAGGAGAATTGAAATGTAATGTCAATTTTATCGTAAATCTCAAGATAACTGAAGAGATGATTTTTGAGAAAATCAATCCATATGTAAATGATTTCGGTGCCCCAATTTTTTTGCCACAATTGATCGAGTTTCGATGAAATTCGCGATAATTCCCATGGTGTTAACCAATAGATGTCGATAGTGAATTCCGGTGGATTTATCATTGGATATGTCGATGGGAATTTTAGATAGAATTTAATTGGCGGTAAATATTCGAAAAATCCACTGTCAAAATCAATTGGTGTCTTTGGATTTTTTTTATTCTCATAAATATACCAGACTTGTAATTGTTTTGCTGGTAGAATTGGATCGATTTTGAAAATTAATTCAATATCCAAATGGCCATCGGTGAATTCCTCGCAACTATCGTCGCTGAATATATTTTTCACTGCATTTATCTCCTCTAAATGTTTCAATTTTACGTCTGGATTATTCTGAAAATTAGAATTTAAATTGAAAATTAATTTTCTATTATTATTATTATTATTATTATTATTATTATTATTATTATTATTATTATTATTATTATTATTACTAGCATAAAAAACCAAATTTTTTTTTGAAAAAATTCAATTATTTTTTTTTAATCTTAATAAATCTCGTCCTAAGAATTTAAATATTTTGAAAAATAATAAAAAAAAACACTTCTTGGCAAGTATTCAATTATTATTTTAATAAATAGTAAAATTTTTTGCAAGAATTCAATTATTTTCATAAATAATCAAATTATTCGAAGGAATTCAATTATTTTTAAAAATTTCTATAAAATTCTTGGCAAGAATTCAATTATTTTTATAAATTTTACTAAAATTCTCTTTATAATAATTCAATTATTTTCATAAATAATAAACTTCTTCAAGAGAATTCAATTATTTTCAACAAAATTTTAATAAAATTCCACGAAAGAATTCAATTACTTTCAAAAATTTTAATAAATCCTACGAAACAATTCAATTATTTTTACAAATAATAAATCATTGCAAAAAATTCAATTATTTTCAATATAATTTTTCAAAAAATTTGACGAAAGAATTCAATTATTTTAATAAATAATAAACATTTTTGCAAAAATTAAATTATTTTTAACAAAATTCAAATAAAATTTCACGAAAGAATTCCATTATTTTTTTAACTATGAATATTTTTTTCGCAAAGAAATTCAATTCTTATTTAAAATTTTAATAAATCCTACGAAAGAATTCAATTATTTTTATAAATCGTAAAATCTTTGCAAAAATTCAAATATTTTCAATAAAACTTTAATAAATCCTGGGAAGCAATTCAATTATTTTTATAAACAGTAAAATTCTATGCAAAAACTCAATAATTGGTTATATTATTAAAATTTTTAATAAAATTCTTCGCAAGAATTCAATTATTTTCAACCAAAATTTAAATAAAATTTCACGAATAAATTCAATTAGGAATTTTCAAAAATTTCAAAAAATCTTTCGAAACAATACAATTATTTTAATGAAAACTCACGAAAAAATTCAATTTTTATTCTTAATTCGTTAAAAAAAATATCGGAAGAATAAAATTATTTTTATAAATAGTAAAATTCTTTCCAAAAATTCAATATTATTTTTTATTATTTTTATTTTTCGAAAATATACAATAAATTTCTAAAATTTTAATAAATCCTTAGGAATAATTCAATTATTTTTTTAAATCGTAAAATCTTTAAAAAACATTCAATTATTTTTATAAATTGTAAAATTTTTACGAAAATTCAATTATTGATTATGTTTTTAAAATTTTTAATAAAATTCTTCGATAGAATTCAATTTTTTTCTTAATTTGTTATAAAATTTTTCAAAAGAATTCAATTATTTTCATCAAAATTTTAATAAAATTCCATTTAAGAATTCAATTAATTTCTAAAATTTTCATAAATCCTTCCGAATAATTCAATTATTTTTTTAAATCGTAAAATCTTTAGAAAAATTCAATTATTTTCAATAAAATTCAACGAAAGAATTCGACCTTTTTTCTAAATTCGTTATAAAATTCTTCACCAAAATTCACTTATTTTCATAAATGAGAAAATTCTTTACAAAAATTCAATATTATTTTTAATATAATTTTTATAAAATTTTATGGAAGAATTTAATTTTTTCTTTACTTTTAATAATATTTTTCGAAAATATTCAATTATTTTTTAAAATTTTAATAAATTCTTCAAAATAATTCAATTGTTTTTAAAAACAGTAAAATTTTTTGCAAAAATTCAATTATTGGTTATGTTTTTAAAAAATTTAATAAAATTCTTCGCAAGAATTCAATTCAATTATTTAAAGAAAACAAATTTTTTCTAAAATAATTAAAAATTTTGATCATAATTGAAATTTAGTAATTTTGTTTTTCGAAGCAATAATTGAATAATTTTTCAAAAGAATTTTTTTCTGAAACAATATTGAATTTTTAAAAAGAATTTTTTTATAATAATGAAAAAATAATCAAGTTTTTAAAAAGAATTCTAATTATAAATTTTGAAAATATATAATTTCTCAAAAATTCTAATGACAAATCTAAAAAAAAAGTATATTTTTTTGTTAAATTTTAATTAAAATTCTTTAGAGATAATTGAATTTCAAAAAATTACGATAAAAAAATAAGACTTACTTTAAAAAAAAAAATTTCAATTTAATTTTTTCAAGTTATTTCTGTTTAATTTAATAAATTTTCATTTTTGACGAATTTTTATTGAACATTTAGAGAATTCAAATTAATATTTTCCAAAAATTTTTCGAAAATTGTTTTTAAAAAATTTTTAATGTAAAAAAAAATTTTTTTTCTTAAAGAAAAGAAATTATTTTCAGTAGAATTATATTACAAATTGCAAATTTTTAACGAAAGGAAATTTTTAATCATAAATAATTGAAAACTTTCAATTTTAATTATTAACACTTTCAAATTATTAAATAAAATAATTGAAAATCTACTTTTTTTTTTGAAAAATATTTGAATTTTTAAGAAAATATATAAAATTCTTACCTTTTTGTCCAATTTATCCTGTAAATCAGTTAATTTTTTTCTAATAAGTTTCACCTGTTCTCCTGGTTCCTTTATCCACGACATATTTATTTATTCTTTTGTGGCACAATTTTTCCTCTTATTTTACACTGTAGAAAATAAAAGATCGAAAAATATTAGAAAATACTTGTCTTCGACTGAATATAACAACGAATTTACGCATTTAACTGGAATTTTAATGTATTACAAAAAAAAATTGTGATCAACACACAAAAAAAAGGCCGCAGCAGAAAAAAAGGTAAACACTCAATTCAAGGGTAAAAAAAATTTGCACTCATATAAACACATTTTGTTATCTAAAGTATTTTTAAAATTTTACTTTGCTATTTCTCGTGTCGAACAATTTATTTTATAAATCGAAAACAATAATTTTCTATTATTTTATAATCCTGTAATAATATTTTAATAATTACTGTTTTAATATTTTGATGAAAAAGTGTATGAAACTCCAGTACAGACCAGAAATTTCGGGGTCAGGGTTCGGTAGGTAGTCACTAGACTTGTAAAGGTACTTTTGCAATATTAATCATAAGGGTACATTTACATTCGCACTTGACTTTTTTCCATTTAAAGTTTAAGATTTCTACATTACCGACGATCAAACAAAGAATTTCGAAAATGTCCACCAATCGATGTAAGTAAATGTAAATGTAAATATGTAAGTCAAGTAACTTTCATTTTTTTCTGTTGGCAACGAATACCCTGAGAGAAAAAAAAACAACGACGCATTTTATTCATTCTATCCCTTGACTTTTTGACTAAAGGACACGACGCTATATTTGCAACTACAAAAAATTTGCAAATCTTCTGACAACATGTGACGCAAAAAAAAGGGGTAAGTTTTTCTTCCTCCCTTGTTTTTTAATCTTGTTTTATTTTACTATTTGCATTTACACATTTTTATCGTTATTAAGAATATTACTACTTTGTAAAATTTTGTGCAATGACTTTTATTCTGAACTCTAGTTTTTGGCAAGTTTTGAGGTTAACTTTTATAAGATTAGCATAATTTTTTTTTTGTGTAAAAAAGAGAACAACCTTCAATTTTTATATTTAATAATTAATTTTCATGATCAGAGATCAGAGGAATAAAATAAGACAAAAATATACATCATAGATTAATTGAAAATTAATACTGATCAACAACTTTTAAATCTTATTATTTCATAATGTAATTCATATTAAAAATATATCCTTTCTTTTTATTAAATTCATAAATTAAACTATATTTGTCGACCACGTAAATCTCGATCTCGTAACTTTATGAAATTTTCAACTCAAAATTTTGAGTTTTGTGGGAGTTATGGAGGGGGAAAGAAAAATCAAAAAACGCATTTTTCTCGAAAACTACTAAATCGATTTTAATGAAATTTAAATATGTTAAAAAGACAAGTAAAGAGTTTACAAAGAAAAATTATCGAATTTTTTTTTCAAAAAATTTTTTCAAATTTGGAACTTTCAAAAAAAAATTTTTGACAAATCAAAAAACGCATTTTTCTCGAAAACTACTGAATCGATTTTAATGAAATTAAAATGTGTTAAAAAGACAAGTAAAGAGATTACAAAGAAAAATTTGCAGATTTTTTTTCACAAAAATTTTCAATTTTGAACTTTTAAAAAAAAATTTTTGAAATAATCAAAAAAAGTATTTTTCTCGAAAACTACTGAATCGATTTTAATGAAATTTAAATGTGTTAAAAAGACAAGTAAAGAGATTACAAAGAAAAATTTTCGAATTTTTTTTTCAAAAAATTTTTTCAAATATGGAACTTTCAAAAAAAAATTTTTGACAAATCAAAAAACGCATTTTTCTCGAAAACTACTAAATCGATTTTAATGAAATTTAAATGTGTTAAAAAGACAAGTAAAGAGATTACAAAGAAAAATTTGCAGATTTTTTTTCACAAAAATTTTCAATTTCGAACTTTTAAAAAAAAATTTTTGAAAAATCAAAAAACGCATTTTTCTCGAAAACTACTAAATCGATTTTAATGAAATTTAAATATGTTAAAAAGACAAGTAAAGAAATTACAAAGAAAAATTTTCGAATTTTGTTTTCAAAAAAACTTTCAATTTTGAACTTTAAAAAGAAAATTTTGAAAAATCAAAAAACGCATTTTTTTCGAAAAGTATTAAATCGATTTTAATGAAATTTAAATATGTTAAAAAGACAGCTAAAGAGATTACAAAGAAAAATTTTCGAATTTTTTTTCACAAAAGTTTTCAATTTTGAACTTTCAAAAAAAATTTTTTGAAAAATCAAAAAACGCATTTTTCTTGAAGTAACTGAATTAATTTTAATGAAATATAAATATTTTAAAAAGACAAGTAAAGAAATTACAAAGAAAAATTTTCGAATTTTGTTTTCAAAAAAACTTTCAATTTTGAACTTTAAAAAAAAAATTTTGAAAAATCAAAAAACGCATTTTTTTCGAAAAGTATTAAATCGATTTTAATGAAATTTAAATATGTTAAAAAGACAAGTAAAGAGATTACAAAGAAAAATTTTCGAATTTCGTTTTCAAAAAATTTTTCAATTTTGAACTTTAAAAAAAAAATTTTGAAAAATCAAAAAACGCATTTTTTTCGAAAAGTATTAAATCGATTTTAATGAAATTTAAATATGTTAAAAAGACAAGTAAAGAGATTACAAAGAAAAATTTTCGAATTTTTTTTCACAAAAGTTTTCAATTTTGAACTTTCAAAAAAAAATTTTTGAAAAATCAAAAAACGCATTTTTCCTGAAGTAACTGAATCAATTTTAATGAAATATAAATATTTTAAAAAGACAAGTAAAGAAATTACAAAGAAAAAATTTTCAAATTTTGTTTTCAAAAAAATTTATAATTTTGTTTTCAAAAAAATTTATAATTTTGAACTTTCAAAAAAAGAATTTTGAAAAATCAAAAAACGCATGTTTCTCGAAAACTACTGATTCGATTTTAATGGAATTTAAATATGTTAAAAAGACAAGTAAAGGGGTTACAAAGATAAATTTTCCAATTTTTTTTTTTCAAAAATTTTTTCAATTTTGAATTTTCAAAAAAATATTTTTAATTTTGAACTCGAAAAAAAAATTTTTTATTTTATTTAAGAGCGACATCTCTAGTTATGCTCTCGTTTTACTCTCTTAACTATCCTACTTTATAAAAAATTATTCCCCTCAACATTTCAGGTTGCATCCCGTTGCATCCCGTTAATTTTTGTTAACATCTTCCGATTTTTATTCAGAAAACTCTTAAGTAGTAATTTGTAAAAGAATTTCATAGATTTCTAGTTTTGACAAATTGCCGGAAATTAGCCTCGTGTCCTTTGTTTATTCGGAATTGTTTAAAATTTTTTTTTTGTCTTTATAATTTTATTTACGGTTTTTGTAGGACTGGCGCCCACTTTTTTGTACCATATTTAATCGTTTCCATGTAACCTTGAATTTATACTTAGTTAAATAAAATTGATTTATCTCCGGTTTTATAATTTTTCGAATTTTAAGGTTAATATTAATTAAGTATTAAGGGCTTTGCCCGTATAAGTATCTTAAATAAATAAATAAATTAAATTTCAATCTCGGTAAAATTTTCTTAACCCACGGAGAACACATGGGGTTATTCTGACCTAACGTTTTTTTTTACAAAATACCTTTTTATCTATTGATTAATATTTCTTATAAGGATTTTAAAGTATAAAGACTTATTTTACAGAGTTTAAACTATATGTAAGAGCCTTGTGGCACTTCTGATGTAGATAAAAATGGAGTAGAAAAATTCTGGTATCAAGAATAGTATACAGAATAGTAGCTTATATCCCAATTGCTAATTGAATCTTCAGAAGACTCATAGTCGTATTCGTCATCATCAGAATCAGAATCACTGTCGTCCTCTTCTTCAGAAGAATCATCATCTTCTTCTTCTTTTTCTTCATCGCTTGAAGTACATTTTCCATAATAAATTTTTAAATAATTACAACTGGATGATGCTTGATTCTGAAGAAATAATGTTTGTTATTATAGTAGCCTCGGCGATGTACAAATTTTCTTAATTTAAAAATACTATCCACGAAATTAAAAAAAAATCACTATAATCTTACGTCTTTCATTGGTCCCTTTTCCATTTCTGTCAAATTTGCCTCCTCAATTATTTGCGTATCCGGCAGTCGATCCACTGTCCATAATGGTAATGGAATGCTTGACTGTAAAATTAAAAAAATAATTATCAGAAATTATTTTTGTGTTTTGTTATAAAAATTAAAAAATAGTGGATGTTTTTATGTTATTTAATCGTATTAACGTATCAACGTTTGAAATAAATTCTATTAATTTTTGAAACAAAAAGTTTTTCAGTGTGGGAGAAGGAATAATTTTTTAGCGTTCCGTACACAAAGTGCATACCGTATCTGTTTTAAAAAATGAAAATTTTTGAAAAATATTGTCATCTGTTCAATTTTAGACCCTGGCAATTGGGAAGTATATGGTTCCTGGTGTATTTTTGAGAGACAATTCTGAGAAAATTACAAGATACTTGATTCAGATTGATTAAAAAGCAATTTTTCTCGAAATGTAGGGTCAAAACACACTTAATATTATAGACACCACAAAAATGAACAAAATGTTACAAAACTTCGGACATTTATTTAGAGTGATAACACTCTTCTATAAGCAAAATTGTAATGCTCTCACTATTTCCATCCGAAAGACAATGAATTTTAACTATTTTGATAGTTTAACATTAGCCCCAGTATCCCCTAATATAACTTTCATTTAATAATTAAGGTTCTTACATCTGGCGAGGGACTTTTCTTTATTTCTCCTGGTACTTTGGAAAGTGTTATTGGTCGTTCAGGTTTACTTGGTTTCTGTTAATTTAAAAAATGTTTGAAAATAAAACAATAATTATAACCGTAATGTTTCAAAAAATTCAATTTTCAATTTCTTACATTTAGTTCAGTCACTACTTCAGGTAAAGGTTTTTGAATTGAAATCAGTGTTTCTTTCTCTGGTCTCTGTAAAAATTTTAGAGGTAAAAAAATAGATTAATTGAAAAAAGTTTTAAATAATAGAAAATAAAATAAATATCAGTCAATAATGAACGTTCTTACACGTGGCGAGGAACTTTTCGTTATTTTTACTGGTGCGTTGATAACTGTTGTTGGTAGTTCAAGTTTACTTGGTTGCTGCTGATTTTAAAAATGTTTAAAAATAAAACAATATAATTGTAATGTTTCATAAAATTAAAATTTCCAATTTCTTACATTTAGTTCAGGTACTACTTCAGGTAAAGGCTCTTTCATTGTAATAGGTTTATCTTTTCCTGGTCTCTGTAAAATATTTAGACGTAAAAATATAGGATTAATTTAAAAAATGATAAATACTAGAAATCAAAATATTATAAATATCATTCAATAATTAAGGTTCTTACATCTGGCGAAAAAATTTTCATTATTTTTTTTTCTTTGAAAAATGATGTTTTTCGTTCATGTTTATTTGGTTTCTGTTGGTAAAAATTAGATTAATTTAAAAAAGTTTTAAATAATAGAATATAAAGTAAACATCAGTCAATAATGAAAGTTCTTACATCTCGCGAAAAAGTTTTGGTTTTTTCTTCTGGTGCTTCAAAAAGTGAAGTTGGTAGTTCAGGTTTACTTGGTTGCTGTTGATTTAAAAAATGTTTGAAAATTAAGCAATATAATTGCAATGTTTCATAAAATTAAATTTTTCAATTTCTTACATTTAGTTCAGGTACTACTTCAGGTAAAGGCTCTATCATTGTAATCGGTTTTTCTTTTCTTGGTCTCTGTAACAATTGTAGATAAGATTAATTTAAAAAAATTTTAAATTGTTGAAATGAAAATAGGGAAGACTGGGTCTACAGGTTAAATTTTTCATAAATGATTTTTTAGCCAATAAATTCGCTTAGATGCAAATATGTATAGATCAATATTGTAAGCAACTTGTCCTCATCAACATTCAATAAAAAAAAGTTTGTAATATTTTCGCGCAAACTACATGTTTCATCCTCTTTGAATAATTTTATTTTTTTAACATTAAACCCCATGTTGGGGCTAAATATTAAATTCTATTTCTAGCCTACTAAAACTATTTTCTGATAGGTGTTAAGTAGTAGATAAGTTAAAGTATACGTAAACAAGTATTTTAGTTAATAAGACATCTGTTTTTATTTAACAATAGCTTTAGAACAGTTATAAAGTTAATAAATTAAAATTTTTAAAAAAATGTTGGTTTATTCAAAATAATTGAATCGTGTAGGGGAGCAAGGGGCTGGTTGTAACAGTTTTAAGAAAATTATATGAATTATTAATTCTATCAAGTGTGTTTTAATTATTATAAATGTTGTTATATTAATAAATAAATTCTTTCTTTAGTAAAACAGAAAAAAAATATTAAAAAGTATGATGTTTTCATAAAAAGACTTTTTGCTAGAAAAACTAGCTTTTAAAAACAGTAATTATTCAATAATTTTGAATTTACTGGTTGAATTATTTAAGGTAAACTCTTATAATAACACAGATAAGAACAATATGAGAAAAAAATCAAATTTTTTGCATAATATTCTACGTAATTGGGAAAAGGAATAATTTTTTAGGGTTCCTTACACAAAGTGTATACCGTTCGAAACCCATTTATTCTCGCTTTTTATGACAAAATTACAGGAATAAAAAATACTAGACCAAAATGTGTTCAAATTTGGTATGGACATTTATTTTTCAACGTAGAATTTGGAAAAAGACTTTTAAAGTATGGTTGAAATTGAATGAATCGCAGTATTTCACAAAAAATGGAAATTTTGAAAAAAAGTAGTGAACAGTTTTCAATTTTAGATAGACCCCGGCAATTGGGAAGTATATGGTTCCTGGTGTATTTTTGAGAGACAATTCTGAGAAAATTACAGGATACTTGATTCAGATTGATTAAAAAGTAATTTTTTTCAAAATGTAGGGTTAAAACACACTTAATATTATAGACACCACAAAAATGAACAAAATGTTACAAAACTTCGGACATTTATTTAGAGTGATAACACCCTTCAATAAGCAAAATTGTAATGCTCCCACTATTTCCGTTTGAAGGACAATGAATTTTAACTACTTTGATAGTTTAACATTAGCCCCAGTATCCCCTAATATAAATTTCATTTAATAATTAAGGTTCTTACATCTCGCAAGGGACTTTTCGTTATTTTTTCTGGTGCTTTGGAAAGTGTTGTTGGTAGTTCAGGTTTACTTGGTTGCTGTTGATTTAAAAAATGTTTGAAATTAAAACAATATAATTGTAATGATTTATAAAATTAAATTTTTCAATTTCTTACATTTGGTTTAGTTACTACTTCAGGTAAAGGTTTTTTAATTGTAATCGGTTCTTCTTTCTCTGGTCTCTGTAAATTTTTTAGAGGTAAAAATATAAGATTAATTTTAAAAAATGTTAAATACTAGAAATCAAAATAACATAAATATAATTCAATAATTAAGGTTCTTACATCTGGCGAGGGACTTTTCGTTATTTCTTCTGGTGCTTTGGAAAGTGTTATTGGCCGTTCAGGTTTATTTGGTTTCTGTTGATTTAAAAAATATTTGAAAATAAAACAATATTATTGTAATTTTTCATAAAAATTAAATTTTTTATTTCTTACATTTAGTTTAGTTACTACTTCAGGTAAAGGTTTTTTAATTGTAATCGGTTCTTCTTTCTCTGGTCTCTGTAAATTTTTTAGAGGTAAAAATATAAGATTAATTTTAAAAAATGTTAAATACTAGAAATCAAAATAACATAAATATAATTCAATAATTAAGGTTCTTACATCTGGCGAGGGACTTTTCGTTATTTCTTCTGGTGCTTTGGAAAGTGTTATTGGCCGTTCAGGTTTATTTGGTTTCTGTTGATTTAAAAAATATTTGAAAATAAAACAATATTATTGTAATTTTTCATAAAAATTAAATTTTTTATTTCTTACATTTAGTTTAGTTACTACTTCAGGTAAAGGTTTTTTAATTGTAATCGGTTCTTCTTTCTCTGGTCTCTGTAAAAATTTAGACGTAAAAATATAGGATTAATTTTAAAAAATGTTAAATACTAGAAATCAAAATATTATAAATATCATTCAATAATTAAGGTTCTTACATCTGGCGAGGGACTTTTCGTTATTTCTTCTGGTGCTTTGTAAAGTGTTGTTGGTAGTTCAGGTTTACTTGGTTGCTGTTGATTTAAAAAATGTTTGAAAATAAAACAATATAATTGTAATGTTTCATAAAATTAAAATTTTCAATTTCTTACATTTAGTTTAGTTACTACTTCAGGTAAAGGTTTTTTAATTGTAATCGGTTCTTCTTTCCCTGGTCTCTGTAAAAATTTTAGACGTAAAAATATAAGATTAATTTTAAAAAATGTTAAATACTGGAAATCAAAATATTATAAATATCATTCAATAATTAAGGTTCTTACATCTGGCGAGGGACTTTTCGTTATTTCTTCTGGTGCTTTGGAAAGTGTTGTTGGTCGTTCAGGTTTACTTGGTTTCTGTTGATTTAAAAAAAATTTTGATAATAAAACAATAATTATAACTGTAATGTTTTATAAAATTCAATTTTTCAATTTCTTACATTTAGTCCAGTTACTATTTCGAGTGAAGGTTTTTCAATTGTAAACTGTGTTACTTTCTCTGGTTCCTGTAAAAATTTTAAACGTAAAAAGATAAAATTATAATTTTCATATTTATACTTTAAATATATTAATAAAATTCTATAATAAAAATAATGTTACTCTTCTTGTCGTTGTTTCTACTGTCGCTTCTGGATTGCCATAATTATCTTCCTGTTTAATTTCATTAGAAATATTTTCACTCTCATTATAATCTGGACTTGAAATCGTAATTGTATCTTCCTTTTTAATATTCTCAACAATGGGTATCATTTTACCTTCCACTTCCATTAAATATTTCAGAGATTTTTTAAAACCTTGTATATCAGAACATTGCCATATTTCTTTAGAGAGATAATTTTTCAGTTTTTCTTCTACGTATTTTGTAATTTGTTCAAGTTTCTCACCAAATTTAACACTTAAATTATTGTCATCAGATGTTATTTTGTCAGTATCACAATGTGCTGTTAATTTGGAAGTTATATTTCTAATTTTATCATGAAGATCAGTTAGATTTTTTTTTAAATAATCAACTGTTTCTGGTGAATTTGTATCGATGATTGTATGTGATATTTTGAGACTGTCTAGCATTATAGTGAAGGATTGTAGAGAAGCTTTGTGAATATCCAAAAGACTATCATTTTTGTAAGTTGCATTGCAAATTAATCGTTCGTAAAAATTTTTGTTAATTATTTTCGCTTTATTTCCAATGTCTTGAACAATGTTGATAATCGAAATTGATGTATTAAACATCTGTTTAAAAGAAATGAACAATTACTTTTAGTAATTTAATCATAATCTAACGATTTCCAGTATAAAGTTGTACACATATGCTGTCCTTCTGGTTTGACGGAATGTTGAAAAGTCGTGTAATTTCTATCAAATATTCTTAGTTCGTGACGTACGAATGTTTGACCGAAATGACACATCTTTTCAAAATTACGTCAGACAGGAAAAAGAGCATACAAGAGCGTTTGAGTGTATTTGAAAATTTTTTTAAAAAGTATGCTTAAAAACAAAAGAATTACCTCAATGTTTGTCAAATCTTCTTTTTCTAACCTACTTTTTTCACTCTTCAAAACATTCTCAAATGCTTTTATTTGAAGTGAACCAATGTTTTCTTCAGTAAAGTATTTTTTTCCGTTACCGCGCACTACGCTTGACAAGTGATTAATAAAATCATTGATATGATCAGTAGTAATATTTTTGTTGAATTCTTCCGGTAAAAGACAATTGTATGCATCGAAATTTACAAATAATAATTTACTTATTTTCGTATTTTTACTATTATTATCATTGCAATCTGTATTGTTTATCAGCTGATCAAGTGATTCTTTAATAGCATATTTGCTAGATTGATCAGCTCTCTTTAAACTCACAGTACGTTCGAAAATAAAATAAATTAAATTAAAATGATTTTTGTCTTTTAAATTCGGATTCGATATTTTTGCTTCTGAAATATTTCTATAACATTCAACTAAAAAATTTAAACCTTTCCTAATCATTAAATATAAATCGTTTTGTTTCTTAAGATCTTGTTTCACATCTTGTTTCTGAAATAAGTTAAGAGCAGAATGAAAAATTTAATGTAATGAAATGTTAATCATTGAGTTATTTAATTACTATATTTATTTATTATTTTAAAAAAATATTTTCTTTTTTCATAATTTAAAGATCTTATATATTTGTTCTCCTACCTTTGGTTCGTCAAATGTTATTGATGATGCTATTGTAATACTACTCAGCGTTTCTTGTAAAATTCTCTCTAGTTCAACGTCTTTAACTTGGTTTAATTTGTCTTTTGAAACTTTTATAATAGATTCAAAGTTTTGAATAGAATCACTTAAATTTTTGTTCTTTGCTAAGCCATTTACGTTATTTTTTAAAAATCTTAGAATATTTTCATTAATTGAATTTGTAGTTTTCTCCATAGTCACACCAAGTTCATTATTTAAAGAATTGCAGTTTTGAGTTTTCTCACTTGACAATTGAGATTTAGATACATTTTTAGTATTTGCAAGAACTGATGTTAATGTCTCTTTAATATCTTCAATTTTATTTTCTTCTAAAATTTTTTCTATATCAAGTACATTTTCATGAACATATTCCATGTACTCTTGTATCGCTAAATGTCTATCACCGCAATTTTGTATATATATAGAAAGTTGAAAGTATTTGTCGTTAATCAAACTCATAATAATTTTAAACATCTTTCTTCTCATATCAAGAAACTGAATATTTTGCAACTGTAAATGAAATAATAATATTAATTGTTAATAAAAATAATTATAAAATATAAATAGTAAAAATAATTTTTTTTTTATACATTCTATAATAAAGAAGGGAGAATTTCCTCTTAATCGAAATTAGCTGACTTAGAAAATTGTGGTCTTTAAAATAACAATAATTGCCGCCAATTTGAGTTTTGATGAAATTCTCCTGATTCTATGTGGATTCATTATTTACCTGTTGATAGAGTTCGAGTATTTTCTCAGAATCGCCAAATTCCTTCGGAAACATGATTTTTATATTATCGTCCTTTAATAAATCTACAACAAAACCTATTTTTCGATTTAAATGCAAATAGTCAGGTTGATTGAAATATATTAATTCCGGACTATCTTGCAATAAATTTTTCTTTTCAACAATCATTTCTTTAATAAGTTCAAAAAACTTGTGTAAAGTTTTGGCAAATTTATATTGTGGATTATTTTCTGATGATGATGATTCGTTCATTTGACAATTATCACCTTTTTGTTTTTTTAAATTAAAAAATAGTTGATTAATATTTTCTGTTAGTGCATTCCTACACCCAGAGAAAAATATTATTTAAACCAAATATATTTTATTTGAGTTAAATAAACGTATATTTGTCTCAGAACCAACTAGACTTTTTATTTCTTTTAAATAAAAATTTTATTCGACACAAATAAAACATATATTTGAGATAAATAAAATTTTATTTAAACCAAATAAAATTTATTTCAAACAAATAAAAAGTCTAGTTGGTTCTGAGACAAATATACCATTTCTCTGGGTGTACTTGTTACATCTTTAACATTTTCAACAATACTTTTTGTCCTTGGATCAATTAGAAAAGAACCTAAATTAGCTATGAAGTGAAGAATATTTGTGTTGTTACGATAAGAATCAAAATGGTTATTAATTAGTATTAAATTTTCAGCACTTATATTGTAACAATTAACGACTTCCTTATATAATATCAGTGTATTTAAAATATTATCCATAATTTTCACTGAATTTTTAAGAAAATTGTTAATATTTTCTTTGCTTTTTATGTCCTCCACCTGGAAATTAAAATTTATTTAGAAACAAAATCTTCTTAACAAAAAAGGGCGGAAAAAATAATAAAGTTACTGCTATTTTACTTACAGTCTCTATAAATTCAATCAGTTGATAATTTATAGCTTTTAAAGATTCAAGGAAATTGGGATCGTTTACAGCTTTATTTGTGAAATTAGACACTTTCGATATTTTTACTTCAAAATTCTTAATATCCAGATTGGGCCAACTTTTAGTATTTTCTGATGTTTCTAAGTCGTCAATGAACTTTTGTATTAAGTAACGAATTAAAATAACAAATCCGAACATATTTTTCCTCTTTTCTAAATTTTTATCGTTATTTATACAATTATCGTACGTTAATTCACAATAATCTTTTAGATTTTTAGTTGACTTTAGATTATCTTGTATTGTCCTTTCCACTTTTGCGATACCATATCCATTTGATTTTATGGGATTATGTTCCAAATCCAATGTAATTAAATTCAAATTTTCAAATAAAGAAATGTCATCAGTGATATTAAGGTCAATTTTATTTACAGAACAACAAGCTTTCTCCAATTTTAGTTTCAATATTTTAACAATTTTATCAATAACTCCTAATTTTTTTTTACCATTTTGTATCGTTTTTTCTATCCACTGAAACATTATTAATTACTATTAAACTATAGTAAATTTTTATAAATTATAAAATTAAAAAAGAAATTTCAATTTTAAAAAATTATAAATAATGAAAAAAAGCAATTTAATAATATTTTAATTTCTTACCTCTTTTTTTGTCACGTTTTGAGCTATTAAGTTTACTTCGTCAGCATCATTAACACCAATTTCTATTTTAGACTCATTTCGACATAATGCAAAAGTAAAAAAATAACTAAAAAACAAGAAAAAAATGGGCCAATAATTAATCGCCATTTTATAACACTTGTTTATAACTTTAGTCTTGCAATAGCTTTGACAAAAAAATTTTGTTAAACTTCTTATATATTGCCATGATAATATGACTATCAAATAATAAAGGTAATTTTAAAATTGATTAAAAATTGTATTTTCAAACTTTTTACTTTTTCTCTTATCAAAAAAATTGAATTTTTACTTTTAATGTATTATAAATAACGATAAATAGATGTCACGTTTCAAGATATTTTTTTTCACTCCTTAAGTTTATTTAAAATTCAAATTTAATTATCTTACATCTGAATTAAAAAAAATATTTTAAATTATTTTGTTGAACTACTTGTTTTACGATAATACATAATTGTATATTTTCAAAATATACAAGTTAATTTATCAGTATAAAGAAGAACGTGACTTTACTAAATTGAAAAAAAATTGTTAACGTTTTAATGAAAATTGATCTTTTTTTTTATTAAAGAGAAAGAACAATGTCATTAACTATATGTTTATTTTTTGAACACGTACAATTCTATATTGGAAAATTTTATTTTATTTCGAAAAATATGAAATATGGAATTTAAATAAATATTGAATATTTTTATGAACGTATATTTTATTTATTTCTTGCAAAAATTTAACAAAGAATGTTCTCTCAAATGAAGCATAATTATTTTAAAAATAAAAAAAATACTTTTAAATTTAGAAAAAAAGTCTAAAATTGTTAATAATGATATTTTGCGATTTTTTTTAAATTTCTATTTTCTGAATCTTCCCAAATAGTGTTTTGACCCATTCTGAATATTGATGAATGATATTTATGTGACATTTTCTTTATTCTCTTTTGATATATATTTTGACTATTTTTATTTTGTAAGTAATGTTGGAATTCAGTGGCAAATGAATATTTAAATTATTATTTTGATTAATGTCAATTTTGGACTAATTGTATATAAATTTTGTAATTTAAAAATATTTAATTCAAATTGTCATCATTTTTTATATAAATCCTTGTGTCTAAATTAAATTTTGATTGAATTTTTAACTATAAAAAAATTATATAACTAAAAACTAAATTAATTTCATATTATATATATTGTTACTTTTACTTGACTCTTTAAAGCACAATTTTTTATAATATCGTAACATGTATTTGATAACAAATTTTGTCTAATAATTAATTTTCATGACTAAAACATCACTTCCCTGAAAAGTTATTAACTTAAAAATATTACTGATACTGATTTTAGTAAGATTGTATCTTTTGTACTTACATTTATTATCTTTCCTTCCATGAATTAATTTTCTTGTTTTTTTATTTGATGATTATTTGCGTGTCGCGCTCTCAAAAAAGGTACCTAAGAAGCTTAAAATTTGAGGTTATGTTTTAGAATTTTTTAAGTAAAAACACAGAAAGAAAATGAATTACCATTAAAAATTATAGACTTTAAATTCTTTATTTTCATTCAAAATATTCAATAAAAATTGGTTTCCAATTTAAATAATTCAGAAAAAAACTTTTAATCATAAGATAAATGTGAAACAAACATAACCTTTAATTCGTATAATCTAATTCCAAGAATAATTTTGTTGAGATCGCACTTTTACTTGATTCATGGTGGAATTATGCGTCGAATGATCTATTGTTGACTTATATTTTCGTTAAAAACTCTAATGAAGATTTACATTTTACCATTTTTCGCTATTTCGCACCGCTGTGTACCGTGTTCGAAAATTTATAAAATCTTGTTTACAAGAAAGTGATTTGTGATACAAAAAATAGTGTTGCATTGTCTGCAAGGTGTTTTTTTTTTAATCTGAGCTAATAACCATTATAAAATTACTGTCAGTTTTGTACCCATGTGAGACAAAACGGAAACATTGCATTTTTGCAAGGTGTTTTTTTTTAAATCTGAGCTAATTAATAACATGGATCAAACCAGTTCGACGGGCAGAAATAAAACTTTCAATTCCGACAACGAACTTTTTGAGAGTAATGTACGCTACACAGTATATTATCCCCCCTCCCTTGAAAAAAAAATTATTTTTGTCACAAAAAAGTAATCTAGAATTTCATAGCGAGTTTTTGTTCAAGTAGAAGATTATTATCGGGCGGTAGAGCAAGACATGCTCGGAGAATATTTTCAATCGCACTTCGTTGTTTAAATAGAGCATTAATAACGGGAGTGCCCGCGGGCACAAGTGGCGCTTTACAAAGATATGAAAGTAAACTCAAAACACTGTGAAAACCGGAAAATTCCTCCTCGGGTAAATCGGCGGATTTAAATGTTATTCGTGAACAAAGTTCAGCCAGTGTCACTAAATCGAGAATTATTGGACTCGCCAATAATGAATCCTCACAGGTATTGTGAACGACAATTGTATTATGACCACCCAACATTAATTCCGATGTATACTCGTCCATTGCTCTTTTACTATCGCCCACATATGGAACGTACTTAATCACCACACAATGATCAGGTTTCTCTCCTGGTTTATAGAGAATTTCATTTGATTTTACCATATCGTCCACTACATTACTCTTTGATATCTAAAAAATTGGAATTAGTAAAAGATTTTAAAATTTTTGTAAAATATTTTTTTTTTAAATTATCGACCGTAGATAAAAAGATTGTTGGTAAAGTAGAATGCGTTACCTCTTTCGATTTGAATTGCAATGGCGCTGAAAGATTGTAACCGTCATTGTTGCCCAAATGATTGTAGCTTACAATTGAAACCGGTTTTATTCCAGCGGAAATGAGAAAATCAACTAGAACCGATTTCAATTTAGTTTGTCCCGATTTAAAATCATCTCCGGCAATAAATGTTTTTGATTTTTCCGCCAAATCCATTGCTCCAGGTACAAAAGTATTTTGCGGTGAACCATTTATATAAGTGCACTGAAAAAATTTCGATAAATATTAATTTCTAAGACTAATTTTTCTGTTCCACTTTTCGTAAGCGAGGTTCCCATCTATGTCAGGTCGGTAAAGTAGAACCAGTTTGGCGACTAAATTTAAAAAAAAGTCTTTTTTACTCACCCCTTCTAATGCCGATGCTACAGCGAACATTGTACTGGGACTAATTTCCAAATGATCGTTTTCAATAGCTTTTAATAAATTCTCAGCTGTATCATTAATTCCGGGAATAATATCACTGAAGCGTTCAGTGTTTGCTGTCCAAAGAACAATAACTTTATCTAAATTTTTCGTTAATTTAAAGTTCACTATATCGTCGCGAATTTTTTGCAATTGTTCACTTTTTGATCCATCTAGAACATTATTGGCACGATTTTCCTGAAAATTTACAATAGAAATGGGGTCATTTTTTTAATTGTGGTTTCCAATCTATGCAAGGTCGGTAAAGTAGAAGCAGGTGGCGCTACAAGCGCGGGAAATTTAAATTAAAAACTGATTTTTGGTATAATAAATAATTATTTTTATACATTAAAAAAAATTCGAAATATTTTTTTTCGTACCTGATTAGCGGCAATGAAATCTGGATAATAAATACTTTTTCTCGGTTGCATTTGTGCCATTTCGTCTGTCAATTGTTTTTGCAAATTAATATCAATTACTTTTGCCCGTTTCATAGCGTCGGCTAAATTTAAATTCGAAATATCCCAACCGTCGAAGATAATTTCGTCTGGATTAATCATTGGCAAAGTGGATGAAATTGGCACATAAACATCTTCGCCATTCATTGTTCCAAGTTTCATGGTTGACGCCTGTACCAAGGAACCATACCTGCAATGAAAAAAAAATTTTTTTAAATTAAAAAAAATTCTAAATTTCTTAATTGAAAACTATACTAAAAATTAGTGGTTTATTGAAAAACAATTAATTTTATATTTTACAGATCGAATCTTTATTGTTATTTTGCGGATGAAATGAATTGGAATAATAGTGAATTTTAGAAGTAGAATCAGAAGTGGGGAAAATAAAAAATGTTAGAAAAACGTAATTTTCAAAAAATGAAATAAAAAAGAATGTTTGAGAAGTAAAAATTAATTTTTTTTTACCAATTCGCAGTTTGAACTCCATCTTTTGTTTCCCATGAAAGTTTCTTTTTATTTGCCAATAAAGCAGCAGTTATTGTTGAACCATTGTTACCACCCCAGCCAACCAGCATTAATCCCACTTTTGGAATATTTAATTCCGTTCGAATTAAAAGTGTTTTCGATTCTGGTGTAACCTTAAAGAAAAGACAAAAAAACATAAATTTTCAAATAATTGCGTCAATTTTCAAAAAAAAAAAAAAAGAAAATGAAAGAGAGAAAAAAATTTAAGCATAATTTATTTCGACTAAAATCTTAAACTATGCTAAAATATAATTATTTGGCTAAAAAAAATAAATCAAGAAGAAATTTTTTTTAATTACAATTATAAAAAATATAATTTGTTTACTATATACATAATAACACAGGCACACAAAAAAAAAAAGTGTCGTGGCCGAGACACTACAGTAGTATATTCCCATGTATTTTTGGCCGCTGAATCCGAATCTGAAGTCCGAATGCTCAAATTGGTTCTTTTTTTTGAGTTATACTCAAAAAACGACTCAAAACACGAATTTGAACCAAAAAAATTAAAAATTTTTTTTGTGAGACATGACAATAGCATATTTCCATGTATTTTTTTCCCGCTGAATCCGGATTCGAAGTCAGAATTGACAGATGTGCTCAAAATTATGAGCTAAACTCAAAAAACGACTCAAAAAACCGAGTTAAAATGACGAAAATGAAAAATTTTTTCTGTGACACTGCAAAAGTATATTCCTATGTATTTTTTCACGCTGAATCCGAATTCGAAGTCAAAATAGACAGATTTGCTCAAAATTTTGAGATAAACTCAAAAAATCACTCAAAAAACCGAATTAAGATGAAAAAATTTTTTTGTGACATGACAATAGCATATTTCCATGTACTTTTTCCCGCTGAATCCGAATTCGCAGTCAGAATTGACAGATTTGCTCAAAATTTTGAGATAAGGTCAAAGAACTGATAAAAAAAGCGATTTAAAATAAAGAAATGGAAATTTTTTGCTATGACACTACATTACAGTATTTCCATATCGGATCTCGCATTTAAAGTCAGAATTGACAGATTTCTGACTGATTTGCTTAAAATTTTGAGATATACTCAAAAAACTGATAAAAATGTAATTTAATATGAATAAAGGAAATTTTTTGCTATGACACTACACTATATAGTGTATTCCCATGTATTTTTTCACTGTGATTCCAAAGTCAGAATTTTCAAAGTGGCTCAAAATTTTTGATTTCATTAAAAGTGCTCAAAAACATGCATGCTTGTACCTGTAACCAGGGTTTGAGTTCTAAAAAATTTTATGTCATTCTGATAATTCTAACTTCGAATTTGTATTCAGCGTATATAAAATTCATGGGAATACACTACCGAATACCGAAAAAATGAACTCTTTTGCATTAAATTAAATTTTGAGCATTTTTGGATTTAACTTAAAATTTTGAGCCAATTTAATAATTTTAACTTTGAATTTAGAAGCAGATGTAAAAACATGAGAATATACTAATGTAGTGTACTAGCAAGAAAAGTAGAGTTTCTTGACTTTAATTTTTGTAACTTAACAGATTTTCTTGTGTGTCTCAAAATTTTGAGCCATTAGGATAATTTTGACTTCAAATGCGAGATCCGAGTGTAAAAATATATGGAAATACTGTAATGTAGTGTCATAGCAAAAAATTGCCATTTCTTTATTTTAAATCGCTTTTTTTATCAGTTCTTTGAGCTTATCTCAAAATTTTGAGCAAATCTGTCAATTCTGACTGCGAATTCGGATTCAGCGGGAAAAAGTACATGGGAATATAGTAGTGTAGTGTCATAAAAAATTTTTTTCATCTTAATTCGGTTTTTTGAGTCTTTTTTTGAGTGGTTTTTTAAGTTTATCTCAAAATTTTGAGCAAATCTGTCTATTTTGACTTCGAATTCGGATTCAGCGTGAAAAAATACATAGGAATATACTTTTGCAGTGTCACAGAAAAAATTTTTCATTTTCGTCATTTTAATTCGGTTTTTTGAGTCGTTTTTTGAGTTTAGCTCATAATTTTGAGCACATCTGTCAATTCTGACTTCGAATCCGGATTCAGCGGGAAAAAGTACATGGAAATATGCTATTGTCATGTCACAAAAAAAATTTTTAATTTTTTTGGTTCAAATTCGTGTTTTGAGTCGTTTTTTGAGTATAACTCAAAAAAAAGAACCAATTTGAGCATTCGGACTTCAGATTCGGATTCAGTGGCCAAAAATACATGGGAATATACTACTGTAGTGTCTCGGCCACGAAACTTTTTTTTTTTTGTGCCTGTGTAATTTAAATGCCTTTATAACAATCGTTCTTATTAAATGGGTATTAAATTATTATTTTTTTTAAATTAAAGAAATTATGTCAATGATCAAAATTTCTTACTAATTTGGCTATTTTAATCCTCTTTTTTTTAATTTGTTTCTTGCAATTATTTTCTGAATTTCTGACCAAAGAAATTCACTCGTTTCCGGCTGAAATAGTCATTTTTGATTAGGATGACATGAGTTTAATTGGAAATTTAAATAAACTTTTCTTTTCTACTTTCTTGTCTTTTTATAACCTAATTTTCATACTATTTTTATTCTTATACTTAATTTCTAATTTTTATTATACATTTTATTCTTTTATTATTTTTTCATTTTTTTCTATTTTCTATAATTATTTAAAAAATTTTTTTTATTTCTATTATTTTTATTTTTTCTGTTATTATTTTAATTTTTCTATTTTTTTTTTTTATTTTTCTATTTTCTCCATTTTTTAAATTTCTATTATTATTTTTATTTTTTCTATTTTTAAAATTATTTTCCTTTCTATTATTAATTTTTATTTTTACTTTTACTATTTTTATTTTTTTCTATTATTTTTTTTTTTTTTTACTTTTTTCTATATTTAAAAAAAATTTTTTTTTTTATTTAAAATTTTTTTTTTAAATTTTTGTTTTTAATAATAAAAAAATCATTAAACAAAAAAAACTCACATTAAAACATTCCTCAGTTTTGGTAACTTTGGTAATTTGGTAATCGTATTCAGCTTCAATATATTCCTCGGTATATTTGACTTTCGTTGAATCCACACGAATTTTCAAGGCCATTGTCAATTGATTTTTTTTTCTTTCTCTTTCTCTCTATTTGGGGAAAATAAACTAAAAATATATTTTACGCACTTGTTTAGAATAGAAAAAAAAATTAAAATTTATTTTTTCTTATCTGTCAATATTAAAATTACCTTGTAAGTTGAATTTTTTTTCCCGAAATCTAAAAATATTTATTTTTCAATGGAAAAAAATGAAGTTTCGGGGAAAATTTTTTTACCACGAAATAGTTGAGAATTGTATGAGAGTGAATCTAGAATAGACTAATAGACAATATATTTCTTTAGGAATGTATTTCCTCGATGGGCATGCGCTTTTCAGTAATATTATACCCTACTCGGTAAAAAACTGTAGGGGAAAAAAATTTCACCCCAAGGAATATTATTTTTCTACTTTTATCAATTTACAAAGAAATATCTTTTTTCCGGAATTTTTTTATTGTTCTTTTTTCATTAAACAATTTATTTAAAATAGTAAAATAATAAATAAAATTTATTAAAAATAGTATAAATAATTTATTTATAAATAAATTTTATTAACTTTATTATTATTTTATTATTTATTTTTTTATTATTTTTTTTATTATTATTATTATTATTATTATTATTATTGTCATTGTTATTCTCATTGTTACATTATTTTAAGAATTATTATATTTATAATAGAATTTTATAATATATAATTATATCATAAATTTATTATTTCTATTTTATTTATACTCTCTAATTTGAATTAGTAAAAATGTTTATTAATTCGTATTAGTCACTGACTTTTTGTTTTTTAATTAATAAATTATACTAATAAATTAGTAGAAATCACTATATGTTAGTAAAATTTACTAATAAATTAGTAGAAATCACTATATGTTAGTAAAAGTTACTAATAAATTAAAGCATTAGGCTGAAGTCCCATGGCAGCGTTTTGCGTTGCGTTTTGTAACTAGCCCATGAGTGCAAATATAGCAAACATATATCTCCATCTCTCTCACACTCATTGCCTAGTTACAAAACGCAACGCAAAACGCTGCCATGGGACTTCACCCTAAAGCATTAAAGAAATACGTTGCAATTTGTAACTAGACCGTGAGTGTGAAAGAGATGCAGATATATGTCTGTCCTTCTTACTCTCACGTTTGGTTAAGTCACTTATAAACTAGTGACAAACTATCAAACAACAAACTGACATTTAAAATTTATGGCAATTATTATAAAAATATAATTGACGTAGAGTTTAAATATTTTTTGTTTACAATTTTCTTTTACAACAATAATTGTGTTGTTGGAGACTTATTTCAAAAAAAAATATGAAGAATAAAATAAAAAAAAATGCCAGGACAACAAGTCGACAGTTTGTGAGTTTGCACAGTTGTGACCGGCACCCTAAATTAACAGGAATTCTAGGGGATTTCTTTTTCTCGCGTTGACACACCTGATGCACTCAGAACGAAATTTACCAGCAGTCGAGAGTGTGTTGAATATATGTGATTGCATTTATTTTCCTTTTAAAGTTTAAATGGAAATGAACAGTTAATGCAAAAATAGTGCGAAAAAAAATAAATTAGACATCATTTTAGTGTTTTTCGTTTAATTTTGCAATAAGGAAAAATGCTACAAGTGGCACTAAAACGTAAATTTGGTTATGATGACTTCAAAAATGAGACACAAAAGAAAGCAACTGCTGCCGTTTATAGAGGTTAGTATGACAAAATTTAATAATCTTTTTTACAATATTAAGGATAATTAACTTTTTTTGCATTACTTTTCAATCATTTTTTCAATTGTACGTTTTTTATTTAATCTACTATTTAATCTACTGTTCGATTTTTCAATTCGAAAATCTTCCCATTTAAAGAATGAAATATTTCTCTCGATAATAAATTATAAAGGTTATGTTTTGTTTTGTTTTTTTTTTTGCAAAAGTGAACCAAACTTTTACCTGCGTCCGACTTTTCTGATAACTTTCTAAGATAATAATAATAATAATTTTAATATTTGATAATTTAGCGATAAAAAATATTTTTTTAAGTATATAAATAAATATAAATAAATGTTTTTTTGTATTAATTTTCGATTCAGAAAAAAACCAACTTTTTTTTATTTCCAAGTATTGGAAATTAAAAATTAAAAAATTGTTTTCTTGTAGTGTATGTTTTTTAAAAAATTTTTTATTATTAAAAAAAATATAGTTTTTGGTGCATTTTTCGATTTTAAACAATAAAAAAAAATTTTTCTTCATAAATTTTCAAATTTTTAAAATAAAAATTTCTTTTCTATACGAAAATGTTTGATTTAAAAAAATAGTTTTTTTTTACAAAAATATTCAGTTTTAAAAAATTAAATTGTTATTCTTTCTATGTAAATTTTCGATTTTAAAAAATAACAATTTTTTTGCACTAAATTTTCGATTTTCAAAAATAACAATTTTTTTTTGCTCTAAATTTTTTATTTTAAAAAATTATAATTTGTTTGCTCTAAATTTTCTATTAAAAAAACAATTTTTGTTCCAAATTTTCTATTTCAAAAAATAAAAATTTTTGTTCGGAATTTTCTATTTCAAAAAATAAAAACTCTTTTTGTATAAATTATCGAGTTCAAAAAATAAAAATCTTTTATTATGTAACAAATATTCGGTTTTAAAAATTGAAAATTGATTTTTTTCTGCAAAAATTTTTTATTTAAAAAAGTAACAATTTTTTTTTTATAAATTTTCGATTTTAAAAAATAAAAAGTGTTTTTTTGTATTTTTCGAGTTTAAAAAATAAAAATTTTTTATTATGTAACAAATATTCGATTTAAGAAAAAACTGTTTTTTTTTGTTTGAAAATTGTTTTTTTGTTTTAATTTTCTATTGTAAGAAATGAAAATTTTTTTTGTTTACAAAATTTTCACTTTTATAAAATAAAATTTGGCTTTTCGTATAAATTTTCAATTATAAAAAATTAAATTTGCTCTTTTTTTATTAAAAAACTTTTTACTTTTAAAAAATAAAATTTCCTTTTTTTGTATAAATTATTCACTTATAACAAATAAAAATTGTTGTTTTGTATATAAACTTTTACTTTTAAAACAAAAACTGTTTTTCCTGTACAAATTTGCAAATTTAAAAAATTAAAATCTTTTTATTATGTAACAAATATTTGATTAAGAAAAAGAATTGTTTTTTTTCTGTACATAAAAATTGTTTTTCTTATTAATTTTCGATTTTAAAAAATAACATTTTTTTATTTCCAAAATGAAATGAAAAAGAGAAAAAATACAGTTTTTTTATGTATAAAATGTTGGATTAAAAAAAATTGTTTGGTTTTGTATAAATATTCGATATTAAATAATAAAAATTGTTTTTTGTATAAATTTTCACTTTTAAAAATAAAAATGCGCTTTTTTGGTCAATTTTCACTTTTAAAAAATAAAATTTGCTTTTTATGCACAAATTTTTCACTTTTAAAAAATAAAAATTTTTTTCTATCAATTTTCACTTTTAAAAATAAAAATTCGTTTTTTGGATAAATTTTTACTTTTAGAAAATGAAATTTTCTTTTTTTTTGTTTAAATTTACACTTTTAGAAAATAACTATTTGCTTTTTTTGAATAAATTTTCACTTTTAAAACATAAAATTTGTTTTTTTTTTTTGGTATAAAATATTCGAGTAACTTCTTTATTTTTATATTGTAATTAAAATAAATTAATAAAAAAAAATTTCCAGGTGATAAAGATGTTTTTATTCGAATGCCAACTGGATCCGGTAAATCGCTTTGCTTTCAATTGCCAGCAGTTTTAAAGGAAAAATCTGTGACTCTCGTTGTTTCGCCATTAATTGCATTGGTCAAAGTAAGTTTTTTAGTTTAAAAAATATGATTTCAATTTAATTTTTTTTTATTAAATTTTCAAAAAAATTTAATTATTAAATTTGAAAATTTTAAAGAATTTTAATTCAATTTTCTAATTTAAATACAAAAATTTCAAAAAAAATTTAATTTTCTAATTAAATTGAAAAATTTAATTAAATTCTGTAATTCAATTCAAAATTTTATTTTGAACAATATAAATTAATAAATAAATTCAAAAATTTTTAATAAATTTAATTCAATTTTAAGTTGAACGTTTTAATTTAATTCTCGATAAGTTTAATAAAAATTACGATAAAATAAATGAAACTAGAAGAAGATTTTATTTTAAATTAATGAAGATAAAAATTATATTTTATCTATCATTTAATGATTTATTAATAATTGCATTTAATTAATCTCTAGTTATTTATTTGTGTTTTTTCTCGTTTCTCTCCTTTTTTTAGAATCAATTGGATTTTTTGGAGGGGAAAAAAATAAATGCCAAGGCAATTAATTCGAAAAGTACGCAAAATGAACGAAAGGCAATTATTGACGATTTATTGTCAAAATCACCAAAAATTCAATTACTCTACGTCACACCGGAAATGTGCCTTCAACCGAATTTTCGGGTAATTATCAATTTTTTTTTCTTTTCATTGCTTTCATATTTTAAATTTTCCTTTTTTTTTTGTTTATTATTATTAATAAAGAGAGAAGTATTTTTCGAAAATAAATTAATAGTCACCAAATTATTTGTTTTCAATTATTTTTCTTTTCTATTTTCAGTCCATCGTGAAATCGTTAAACGATAATAAAACACTTTCATTTTTGGTTATTGACGAGGCGCATTGTTTAAGTCAATGGGGACATGATTTTCGACCGAGTTATCGAAAATTGTCATTTTTCCGTGAAACATTTCCCGAAATTCCCGTTGTTGCTTTAACGGCAACGGCAACAAATGAGGTAAATAATAAATTAATTTCTTTCATTTATTTCAAACAGGAAAAAAAGGATTTTAATTTCATTAAAAATCATGAATAACAAATAGAAATTATGATTTTTTATATGAAAAGTACTGAAAAAAATTTAATGTTTAATATTTATAAGAAAATTCTGAATTTTTGTGTTTTAAAATTTCAACGCAATTCTTTTAAAAAAATTCAACTCTTATAGAATCATAATAAATGTTAAAATTCTTTCCAGAAATTTAATTATTTTCAAACATTAAAAAAAAAATCTCGTCAACATTTCAATTATCTTTATAAATAGCAAAATTCTTCGCCGAAATTCAATTATTTTCAGGAATTTTTGCAAAATTCAATTATTTTCATAAATAACAAAATTCATTGAAGAATTTCAATTATTTTATTTTATTTTTTTCTTATTTAATTTTCTAGAATTTTTAACTAAAATTCTACTCAAAATTTTAATAATTTTTTAAATTATTTAAATATAATTCAATTTTTATGGGATCCAATTTATTTTCAATACAATTTTTATAAAAATTTTCAAATGAATTTAATTATTTTCAAGAATTTTAATAATGTTACTAATATTTTATAATATTTTTTATTAAAAAATCAACTGCTTTGAATACAATTTTAACTGATTTCCTACAAATAATTTTAATTTCCTCGCAAGAATTCAATTATTTTCGAAACTTTTAATAAAATTCTTCGCAGAAATTCAATTATTTGCAAAAATTAATAAAATTATTCACAGCAATTCAATTGTTTTCCAAAATTAATAAAATTCTTCGTAGAAATTCAATTATTTGCAAAAATTAATGAAAATTCTTCACATAAATTCAATTAATTTCAAATATTAATAAAAAATTCTTCATAAGAATTAAATTTTATTCAAAACTTTTAATGAAATTCTTATCAGGAATTAAATTTGTTACCATAAGTAATTGATTTCTACACAGGAATTAAATTATTTACTATAAGTAATTGATTTCTTCACAGGAATTGAATTATTTTCAAAAAATAAATTCTTGCATAAAATTCTGCTCAATAATTCAATTTTTGATAAATAAATAAAACTCATTGCAGAATTTCAATTATTTTTAATATTGAAATTGAAATTTTTCTTCATAACATTAAAAAGAAATTAAATTTCAATAAAAATAAAAATTTTTAAAATTTAAAATTTGTATTTTGGAATTTTTATATTGAGAGAATTAAAATTAATGTTCGAAAATTCGAAAGAAAATTAATTACATGAAAGCAGAGTAATAGTTTCAATTTTCAGTCTTAAAAAATTATTTAATCGAATTATTAAAACAATTTTAATTTTCCAACCGAAAGAATTATAATTTTCGTTAAAAAAAAATTGAAAGAAATAGAAAATTCTTCACATTTTTCAATTTTTTCAATTAATTTTCTTCTTTTTAAAAAAAAATAAACATAATTTTCTGCTTTTTATTTTTAGGTAATCAAAGACATTACGTCGTCGCTCAATATGAAGAATCCATTGATGATATCGACGCCAATATTTCGTTCAAATCTTTATTACGACGTCTGGTATCGGGACGCAATTAAAAATCCCATAATTCATTTAAAAGAATTTATTAAGGAATGCCTCGGTGATAACGAAGAAACAAAGCCTGTAGGTAAATTTTGTGTTTTAAAAAAGTAAAAGAAAGAAGATTTTTTTCTTTCCGGGTTGGGGAGAATTTTATTCTCTTTTCTATATTTGTAACTCGTTTTTTTTTTTTTTTTTGCTTCTTTTCAGGAAAAGAAAAATTGTGGAATTGTTTATTGCCGTCGAAAAGAAGACACGGAAACTATTGCCGAGAGATTGTCCAGTCTTGGAATTTCAACCCTTGCATATCACGCTGGTAATAATTTATTTAAAAAAAACAATATTTCTAATTTTTCTTTTTAATATTTTGAATTTTAAAATTAATTCGAAATTCTAATTTAATGCTATAAATACGAAAAATGCAAAAAAAAACGTAAAAAGTACGACAAATTAATTAAACCAAATTGTTTTCAATTCGATAAATTTCTTTTATAATTTTTATTCGGAAATAATTGAATTCTTATTAAGAAATTAATTCAAAATTTTTCTAAATAATTGAATTTCTTGCGAAAAATTTAATTATAAATCTTTAAAAATAAGTTAATTGCAAATTTTTGGATTTGAAAACATTTTTAAATTGATTTTTATTTCAATAAAGTTATTGATTCGTATGTTGATTTTTAATTTGGAAAATAACATTTTCTTTTTTATTCCCAGGATTGAAAAGTAAGGAACGAGAGTCAGTTCAGGATAAATGGACCTCTGGAGAAGTGCCAGTAATTGCGGCAACTTGCAGTTTTGGAATGGGTGTCGATAAAGGACCAGTTAGGTAATAATTTTTCTTTTTATTCTTTTTAAAATATTGTATATAAAAAAAATTACTTTCTTTCAAGATAAATTATTTTGTTAAAATAAGAAAATATTGAATAGAAAAATTAAATATAATTTGCAGATTTGTTATTCATTGGACAGTTCCGCAGTCGATTTCGGCTTATTATCAGGAGTCGGGCAGAGCCGGACGCGATGGAAAACCGGCATTTTGTCGGGTTTATTACAGTCAGGATGAGTGTAATATTATTGGCTTTTTAATAAAAGAAGCAAAGGGTGAATATTCACAATTACCGCCGGATGTTGCCAAACACAAATGGGGCGATTTTGAAAAAGCAGTCGCTTACTGTATGGACGTTAAGTACGTTTTCTATTCTTTCAATATAATAAGATTATTATTTTTATTCTTTATATTATTATTATTATTTGTATTATTTTTATTATAATTCTTTTTATTCTATTACTATAGAATAATCAGGGGAATTTAACTTAATTTAATGAAGTATTTTTTTGAAAAATTTTAATTTCAATTCTGTTGAAATTAGTTTCAATTTTTTAAATTTTAACGCAATTCTTTGAAAGAATTCAACTATCTTAATAAATATTAAAATTCTTTCCAGAAATTCAATTATTTTCAAAATTTTAAAAAATAATTCTCCTCAACATTTCAATTATCTTTATAAATAGCAAAATTCTTCGCCAAAATTCAATTATATTCAGGAATTTTTAACAAATTCATTGTAGAATTCAATTATTTTTATAAATAACAATATTCATCACAAGAATTCAATTATTTTTAAAATTAATAAATTTCTTCGCAAAAATTCAATTATTTTCAAAAAAATAAAAAAAAAAAAAAATTGTCAACATTTCAATTATTTTTATAAATGAATAGAAAAATTCAATTATTTTCAGGAATTTTAATAAAATTCATTGCAAAATTAAATATTATTTATTATAAATAATAAAATCATTCGGAGGAAGTCAATTATTTTCATAAATAACAATATTCATCACGAGAATTAAATTATTTTCAGAAATTTTTTCTTAATTCAATGATTTTCAATATTCTACTATTTTAATAAAAATTCCTAAAATAATTCAATTATGTAGTCAAAAAAAAAAAAAAATAATAAAATTGTGCGCAAACATTTAATTATTTTCCAAATAATAAAAATTCCACAGGAATTCAATTATTTAAAATATAATTTTCATAAATTTTTTAGAAAAAATCAAATGTTTTAAAATTTGACATTAAATTCTTGGCAGTAATTCAATTATTTTCTAAAATTTTCAAATTTTTTTCAGGGATTTAATTATTTTCATAAATAATAAAATCATTGGGAGGAAGTCAATTATTTTCATAAATAACAATATTCATCACGAGAATTAAATTATTTTTAAAAGTAATAAAATTCAATTATTTTTAAAAATAATTTTAAAATTCATGGCAAAATTTCAATTATTTTCAAAAATTTTTCTTCATTCAATGATTTTCAATATTCTACTATTTTAATAAAATTTTCCAAAAGAATTCTATTATTTAAAAACAATTTTAATAAAATTCTACAGAAACATTTAATTATTTTCATAAATAATAAAACTCATTGCAGAGTTTCAATTATTTTTAATACAAAATTTTAATTGAATTCCTCGAAAAATGTAATTATTCTTAAAAATTTTATTAAAATTCGTCAAAAGAATTCAATTAAATTTTAAGAAAAATTCAATTATTCAATAAATTATCTATGTTTGTATTTAAACAATTGAATTCTCGCCTAATTTTTTAATAAAAATTGATTGAGAAATTAATTTCAGTTAAAGTTTTAGATAAGAATTGAATTTTTGAAAAAGTTTCTGATAATTGCAATTTTTAGAGAAAATTGAATTTTGTAAAGGTTTCAAATTAAAATATATATGAAAATATCGAAATTTCACGTAAAAAATTGAATTGTAAACAAATGGAAAAATTTGAATCTTTCATGCTTTTAATTAAAAATTCTATGGAATTAATTTTTTTCAAAAAGTTTAATCGAAAATTTTTAAAATTATTTCAAGTTTTTATTTTCAAAAGAATAGTTATAATTAAAGAAATTCCAAATAATCGAAATTTCGTAAAATTATTTAATTATTATAATTATTTCCAAAATTCAATTATTTATTAGAATTTTTGAATTATTCGAAACTTTTAATTTTGAAGTCAAGCTAATAAATTAATAATTTTTTATAAATTTAAATATTATTATACTTTTACAGCAATTATAATTTCAAGGCTTCCAATTTAAAAACTTTTTGAAATTTAATTATTACTGAAGAATCTTACTTTAAAGACTTCTAATTATTTTGCTAAACTTTTGACTAAAATTCTTTTTTAAATCAATTCTTATAGGAATTCATCTACGAGAATTGAATTATTGAAATAGAAAAATAAATAATTCGTAAAATAATTAATTATTTTTCAAAAATTGGATTAAATTTTCTTATTTCACTTATTTTATTATTTAATTTGAACAATAAAACAATTTGGAATCAAAAACCACTGACGTCTCGTGAGGATTATTATTATATAATAATAATATAATGTAATTGTTATTATTCTTTCTTTTATTTTTTTATCAAACAAATTTCTTCTTACAGATGTCGTCACGGTGTTTTTTCGAAATACTTCAATGACTCGGTGCCGGCCTGTAAAAAATTGTGTGACGTTTGCAATGAGAAGGACGCCGTTAAAGAGCGTTTAACTGAATTGGAATTTTGTTCGACGAAAATAAAAAATAATAAATCTAATGATGAAAGTTTTTCTCTTGCGAAAATTGACAATAATTTATTTGATGACAATAATTCGCATGGAATATCGGCGGAGAAAAGAGAAGAGGATCGACGAAAAGCAGAGAAGGAATTAATTGATCGACAATTTGCATTGAGAAGAAATTCAAAAAGTATCGAGGAGGTATTATTTATTTCTTCTATTACTATTATTTTTATAATAATAAATACAATAACAACAATAAAAATAATAATAATAATAATTTTTTTTTTCTTCAACAGGAAAAAGAGGAGAATGAATACGCAAAATATTCATACGTTCTGGCTGCTGAATTTACATCGTCAAAAATTAAGGGACTCTCAGTCAAGGTGAGATTAATTTCATAATAACAATTTTTAATTTACAAATCCTTATTAATAAAATCAGACTTTTGTCTGTACATTGCATAGAATTCAAAATTTCTATTATATTCCTTCTTTTTACACTCTAAGGAATGCGAAAATACTATTAAGAAAATTATGTGTGTATGTGTATATGTGTGTATGTGTGTATGTGTGTATGTGTGTATGTATGTCCGCAAATTTTCGACCGCGTATCACGGAAAAACGGTTCGATCGTTTGAAGTGAAACTTGGCAGTCTTTTAGGCATTAGCCTAACTTAAAATCCTAGCGATAGTAGATTAAAAAATATTAATATGGACGAAAGTTATGCCATTTTTTCAAAAATTCGAAAATTCGAAATTTTTAGTTTTTTCATATACTTTAGTGAATTGTACTTAAACTTGGTACAGGGTTAATTTTAGTGTTTTTTATGAAGATTTAATCGTCAGAATAATAAAATTTTGAATAACAAATAAAAAGTGTTAGATTTAAATATTGAAAAATTAAAAAGTTTAAAAATTGAAATTTTTTTGTAATTAATTTTTATACGGTTGTATTTCTTAGGTCAACAATAAAAATTTGTTGTTGAGATCATAAGTTTACTTTCTTAAAAGAATTCTATTAGGTCAGAATATTAACAATATCCATATAATTAATATGAGACTTTTGTCAGTATGTTGCACAGAATTCAAAATTGCTATTATATTTTATTAATTAATGATCAAAAAATGAAAAACTCAAATTTCATTCTGATGACTAAATTGTAATAAAAAATACTAAAATTAACCCTGTATAAAATTTAAGTAAAATTAATGACAATAATTATTTCAAAAGATAAATTTTGAATTTTAAAAATTTTGAAAATATATAGCACTAGCTGTCATGTCGTACCCGTCTTCGACGGGTTTTAGTTTCTACCAATACATTTAACAATGTTTCTACCAATCTGCGGAAAATCAAAAATACCCGGGATAAATTAATTAATAATTAATAATTAATAATTAGTTAATTAATAATAATTAATAATTAGTTAATAATTAATTAATTAATAATTAGTTACCATTAGCTATTTCGGTAGTATAATTATACTATTTGAATAGTCTCCACCCTTTAGCAAAAAATCAAAAATTATCAAAAATTCGAGAAACCGAATTTCTTAAAATTTAACATTTTTTTCTTCTCTTTTATATCATTAAGCTTCATTATTTTTGTACTCTTCAAAAATACTTTACTTATATTTAATAGTCTCCACCCTTTGGTAAAAAATCTAAAATTATGGAAAATTAGCAAAAATTCATAAAACCGAATTTATTAAAATTCAACATTTTTTCTTCTCTTTTATGGCTTTTGGCTTCATTATTTTTGGGCTCTTCAAAAATACTTTATCTAATTTGTTATCTCCACCCTTTGGTAAAAAATCTAAAATTATGGAAAAATAGCAAAAATGCAAAAAAATGAATTTCTTAAAATTAAACATTTTTCCTTCTTTTTATGGCATTTAGCTTTATTATTTTTGTGCTCTTAAAAAATACTTTACTTATTCAATAGTCTCCACCCTTTGGTAAAAAATCTAAAATTATGGAAAAATAGCAAAAATGCAAAAAAATGAATTTCTTAAAATTCAACATTTTTCCTTCTTTTTTATAGCATTTAGCTTTATTATTTTTGTGCTCTTAAAAAATACTTTACTTATTCAATAGTCTCCACCCTTCGGTAAAAAATCTAAAATTATGGAAAATTAGCAAAAATTCAAAAAACCGAATTTCTTAAAATTCAACATTTTTCCTTCTTTTTTATGGCATTTAGCTAATTATTTTTGTTTAATGTAGCAAATTTCTTACTTTACATACTGATCTTTAAATAAAAAACTTTAATAACTTTTCCTGAAAAGCTTGCTTAAAGATTAAAAATCACTATTTTCTTAGAAAAAAGTTGATCTAAAAAAACGAAAAAAAATTTCAAAATACATCTTTTTTAAAAATTTTATCGTAGAAATGGGTTGTATTTATCTGAAAAAGTTAGCTAAGGATAGTTTTTTCATTCATTTTACAAAAGATAAAAAATTTGCATTTTTTTGTTTTTTTGAATTTTTTGGAAAAATGTCATAACTTTTGTTCAAGTTAATATTTTTTAATCGGATAAGGCTATGATTGTAAGTTACTTTAATACCTAATAGACTGCCAAATTTCACTTTAATTGGTTGAACCGTTTTCAATTGATGCGCGAACAAAGTTTTGCATACAGACAGAGACAGACAGACAGAAATTTTTTTTACATTTTTAGAATTCTAATGTCTCAAAACGAAAAAATATATAAAAATTTTAAAGTTTGGAGCAATGTACAGATAGTAATCTGATTTTATTAATATAGATAATGTTCGTTCACATTAATAACTTTTAGTTTACTATAGCTACACTAAAAAAAGTTATATGATTCAAGTAATTATAATTATTTGAAAAATAATATCTTATTTAAAAAGTTTTTATTTCGATCTAATAAGAATTTATTTCGTTTAAATAATTTTATTTAGTTGAATCAAATAAATCTTAATTGGATTAATTAAATAAATACTTGACTCTAATAAATAAATTTATTTAACACAAATCATTTCTAAATTTTATATTTTTTCATGGATTGCTTCTAAACTTTCTATAGTTGAGTATTACATGTTATTTAGTCACATTTTAGCATAATTTTTCAAAAATACTTTCTTATAACGAAGATGTAAGTATAAAAATGTTTTGAATATCAAAAAATTGAAAAAATTATAATTGATACCAATTGCTATGAAGCTTCATTCAGTAGTATTTGTGGGCTCTCTGATTTAACTTTTAGAGATATCTTGATCAATGTAAAGACAAAAGTTAAACACGGTGTTTATTTTGGTTTAAAACAATTTCCGGCTTTGTCCAAATTTTTCCTGGTTTACTGGACGGGTTTTTTTTAATAATACATTTAACAGGGTGTTTACCAACCAGAAAAGACGTAAAATATCAGGGAATTTAATGTAACCGAGAAAAACTGGATCTACTTGCTATACAATTAGTTCGAATTAGACTGTACTATAACTCAAAAAACTGGAGGAAATTTTAGATTTATTTTAATACATTATATTGATTGAAGTACTACAAATTGAGAAATATTGTTTTCTGCATTTGAATTAGTTAAAAATAACTAATTTGATAATAAAAAGTCGGTCACTGTTTCAAATGGTATTATTTTCCTAATGAAATAGACAATAGTAACTAATTATTATTTTTTCCCTGTCAAATCAAATTCCCGGCTATTTTCCGGTTTCCTAGGTTGGTAGATACACTGTTAAGTGCATTATCAGAAACTACAACCCGTCGAAGACGGGTACGACAGCTAGTTATAAATATATTATTACAAATTATTAATAATTTATTAATTAATTAATTATTACAAAATAAATCTATATTAATAATTGTTGTATTCAAAAAATTAGTTCGCAGATTGAAATTAGTTCTTTTTGTTTGCTTAATAATTCTTAATTTCACTTTTATTCTAATATAAGTTGAAAATTTTTACTAAATCAGATTTATTTAGATTCAAATTTATTTTTCAAATAATAGTTAATAATAGTTATTATTTTCAATGGTAATTATTGGAAGAAAATTTTCTCTTTACAGACAAGAGAAACTCTTTATGATCAACTTTTCGAAATTCTATCGAAAAATTGCCGACTATCTGATTTAAAGCGTTCCAATGAGGATTTACGAAATGTGGCACTTCAATTGGAGTACAAAACTCTTACTGGCACTCGATTAAGTAACGCCTACAAACTCAATATGCATAAACTGGTAATTATTTTACTCCTAATTTCTTTTTCTAATTTAACTGAATTTTTATACAATTCTTCACAATAATTCAATTACTTTCACTAATAATAACATTTTTCATGGAAATTCAATTTTTAAAAAAAATTTTTGATAAAATTCTAAGCAAGAATTCAATTATTTTCATAAATAATAAAACTCATCGAAGATTTTCAATTATTTTTAATATTTTTTATTTTATTATATTGGATTCATATGTATGACCTTTCAGCCTTTTACATTTCCCGTACATAAATATTTTCTTCGAATCTTTAACATAAATAACTTAAATTAATTTAACACTAGATTTTAAACATTTAAATATCTTAAATTATAAACCGCTTTGTTTACATTTTGATAAATCTTCAAAGGCTCTTGCGTATCTGCAGAGAGCGAGGATCGGTTTGCCAGACATTGTTGACCAAATTTTTTGCAAGCTTAAATTTTTGCCGCAATCGGTCCACTTATCAACTTCTTCCACCCACTTTTTATCAATTAGCTCCCTAGCTTTTTTACACACCCAAATATGCTCTATGTTCTCTGTTTCTGATCCACAGAGTCTACAACTTACATCTGTGAAACCCTTATTCCCGGCCCTCCCTACATTGCCACATCTAATCCGAGCCCATTGTTCCTTGTCCTTGAAACTTAGTTCTTTAATTTCCCAGTAATTTTCTCTCCCTATTTTAGATTTCCATTTCCCATAATTTTTGCAATATGAAGACTTATCAATTTTATACCACTGTTGTTGAATGTCCTGATCCATTTTGACTTTTATATTTCTTTTTATATTTTCGGAAATCTCTCTCATATTTTCTTCTGGACCCAATAATTGAATTGTTCTGCCGTCTCCTACTTCGCTAAGAACTTTTTGGACTTTTGCTCCCCATGCTGATGGAAAATTGTTTTTAATGCCTCTTAGTTCCTCATTTAGGCATATTCTCGGAAGTCTGTTTTCTTCCATGTTTAAAATTTCTTTGAGATATTTAAATACCCTTCGTTTAGCTTCTACATCTAGACTAACTCTTCCAGATTCCATTTTCCAGATGTAATCTGGGGTGTTGATGTCCAGTCCCATCGCCATTTTCACAAATCTTCCTTGCGCTTTTTCCATTGTATCCCATTTTTCCCATCCCCAAATTTCAACTCCATATAAACCTCCCGATTTAGACAAAATATCCATAATATAAAGTCTTGTATTTAGTCCCCCTATTCTAGCTCTCGTTAAGACGCCCCAAGCAGCATTTGTTGCTTTTTGCATTTCACCTGCCATTTTTTTTACGTGCCTTCCATGAGATCCTTTTGTAGAGAACCAAAAGCCTAAATATTTGTATTCGTTGACAATTTCTAGTTTTTCTCCGAATATTTCCCATTTTTCCCCTTTCTTTAGTTTACCCCCTTTCCTAAACACTATGACCTTCGATTTTTTAATATTAACTTCTAATCCATTTTTTGTAACGTACCCTTCTAGTGATTTTAGCATTTGCCTCAACCCTTCTGGAAAATCTGCCAATAATACTAAATCGTCTGCGAACTTCAAAGAATAAATTTTAACTTTCCCTATGACCGTGCCACCCTCTTTCTTAATTTCCCAAATTTCATCCATGTCCTCTATAAAAATGTTAAACAATGTAGGACTAAGAGGACATCCTTGCCTTACTCCTCTATTTGTTTCAAATGAGTCCGTAAGTCCTTCTTCAGTCACTACTTCATTCGATGTTACTCTATATATTTCCATGATCATTTTGAGCATTTTTCCTTTTATTCCTAAGTTCGACAGCTTCCTAAAGAGAATTTCTCTATCGACTGTGTCGAAAGCTTTTTTAAAATCAATAAATGCGGCGTGTAGTTTACCTTTCTCCCTTTTTAAGTTATTTTTTATCAATGAATTTAGGACAAAAATATGATCTCTGGTTGACCTTTTTTTGCGAAACCCTGCTTGATTTTCTTTACACAATTTGTTTTTTTCTAACCAGTTTCTAATGCGCTCGTCTAAAAGTGAAGCTAAAATTTTGTAACCCGTATCCAGCAAAGATATACCCCTGTAGTTATTTGTGTCATTTTCGTCTCCATCCTTATAGATAGCTATAATTCTCGCTTTTTCCCAACCTTTTCCTAATTTACCTTGATTCCAAAAACCGTTTATTATTTTATGTAACTCTAAAGCCCATACTCTAGGAATTCCTATTATGAACTCTATTGGTACCCCATCTTCTCCAGGAGCTGTCCCTTTTTTCATTCTCATGATACATTTAGCTAATTCATCGAAAGATATATCTGCATTTAAGTCGTTGTCATCCTCGTCATTGTCTGTTTCTATGCTTGAACCTACTTCTCTATTTTCTGAATTATTATTCCCTGTTGCATTTTCCCTAGTTGTTTCATTTATATTTTCATTATTCCCATTTAATAATCCCTGAAAATGATGCAACCATCTTTCTTTTTTTACTGCCATCCCTCTTTTCTTTTTCTTTCGCGGTCTAAAATCCCCTATCGCTTTCCAGAAACTATTCATGCTTTTGCTTTCTTTTACTTTATTCCATTTTTCCTCTTTTATTTCTTTTTCTTTTGAATCGCATAATTTTTTCAGTTTTCTTTTTTCCCTTTTTAATTTTAATCTACTTTCGTCATCTCTTTTTTTACGAAATTCTTTTAAACTTTTCCATACTTTCGATCTCTGTTCTACGCAATCCTTATCGAAACCTGTTTTTACTGTAAAATTTCCATTACTTTCCTTTCTTATAAGCCCTACTAATTCCGCAGCTTTCCATATGCTTTGTTTAAAATTATTCCATCTATCTTCCCAGATTTCGCTTTTTTCCCCCTCGTCCCATAAGTTCTCCATTTCCCTTCTATATTCTTCTTCTTTTTCTTTTTCCCACTTGAGAATGTTTCTCCTTTGTTTCCTAACCCTATCCTTCTGGTCTACTCTAACTAATTTACCCTCTAATTCTAAGTTAAAGCAAATTGGAAAGTGGTCCGATTCAATTCTAGGTTCAACTTCCAATTTCTTTACTGGACATTCATCACTGTTTTCCATTACTATTATATAGTCCAAAACCGATCCCCCCTCTCCACAGATACACGTCCAATTTCCTTCTGTATCTCCTTCTATTCTACCATTCAAAATTCTTAAACCTTGTTCTTCACAAATTTCCAAAAGTTTTTTGCCTTCAGCATTAAGAACCTTATCCTTAGATTTCCGATCTCTAGTGTACCCCCTGTAAGGATCTAGTCTATCCCATTCACATCCTCCCAATTCCTCCCCCGTTCTCGCATTCCAATCTCCTACAATGATTAATTCTTCCCCTTCACGTCGAGATTTTTCTATACATTTAATTAGTTCTTCTTTTAATTTAGATATACCAACATTGTTATAAGTAGAAATAATACGCACCTTCTTTCCGTTTGCTTTCCACCCCCCATACAATATCAAACCAAATTCCCATTCCTCAAATTTCACTTTATCACTCACCTCTTTTTTTACTCCAATTAATATCCCCCCTTTAGCTCTACCTTTTTTACACTGTCTAGTTGCTGATTTAGTCGACCAATAAAAATCTTTACTTAACTTATTCTTAAAGTCCGCTACGTTTTTCTCCTCCAACCAAGTTTCTTGAAAAATAACGAGATCGAAATTTTCCCAAAAGTTCTTCGAATCCAACACGTTTTTAGTTCCAGCAATATTCCAAGAAATAACTTTGATAATCCTTTCTTCTTCATTACCTCGATTGACGAAACCACTTGTCTTCGGTTATTCCTTCTTCTTCATTCCAGCGAAAATTGCGATTCCCCACTGTCCACCTCATATACCGGTACCTGGCTTCAAATCCTTGATTTTGTACTTTTTTAACCTCTTGCCTTATCCATTTCTTGATTTCCTCCTCTCTAGGCGTTAAATCGTCTTGTATCCAGATGTCCGTTCCATGTAATTTACCTTTGTTTCTCAAAAGATACTTTTTTTCTTCCAAAGAGTACAATTTTACTAGAATTCCCCCTTCAATAACCCTCACTTGTTTTATCGTAATTTGAACACCGGTTAGTCCCCTTAAGACTTCCTGAATTTCGTTTTTCATATGTGGCCCTCGTACAACACTGAATCCCGTCACTTTTATCCAACATCTTCTTTTTCTTCTTTCTTTGAATTCCCATTCTAATTCATTTTTTTGCAAGAGTTCGGGTATTTTTGCTCGATTATCCTCGCTTGTTAGATTTATTTCTTCCTCATTTTTGTTTTGAGTATCATCGCTGTTTTCCATTCTCAATTGAGTGTTGTCTCCTTCTTCCTGGCTTTGGTTTCTCGGATATTGGTTAAATTCGCTTAAATTTCTTCCGGGCGTTCGCTTCTTTTTTCTAGCTCCATTCTCTAAATTTTGAATTGATGAATTTAATTTTTGAACTTCCTCTTTGAGTCGATTGCTTTCAGCCTTCAATTTAATTTCTCTTTCTCTTGCTTTCCTTACAGCTGTTAATGCTGCTTCCTCTCTCGTGATCCTTTCTTCTTCAGCTTCTTGCGAGACCGCATCTTTTTCTGCACGTTTGAGTAACTCTGTCAATTCTTTTGTTTTTTTGTCCCACCATGTATCCAAAATTTTTTCTAACTCATCTTCCTCAATAACACACACTTCCTCTTCAATATTAGAGTTCTGATCTAGCAATTTATTTATCGTTTCACTTCTTGATTTTTCTGTGTCTTTTTCTGATTGTTTAGATGCATTTCCACCACTATTTACAAACTCACTTTTCCCTGTTATTTCGGACATTTTTTCATCCCATTTCTTATTAAAATACTTATCTAAATTTTTAACACCCTTGTTGTTTTTCCTTTTCGCAAGTTCCGCCTTGGAAGGTCGTCCTCTTTTTTTTTTTATTATTACTCCTTTTGTACTCCCCCTTTTCGTTGACTCCAAAACTGCGCCACGCGGAGAATCTACTTTATCTTCCGTAGATCGGCTTCTATTAAATGGCGTCATCTGTTGGGACTCTCTTGAATTATCTTCGTCTTCCATGTTCGCTGAACTTGCTATCGACATAACCTCAACTATCTCCAGCTCCACTTTTTAATAATCAAATTTTTCATCATTCATTCAATCCCCCACTTTACAAACATTTCCTTGAACAACTCACACCTCACTTTAATAACTGCAATAAAAATCGCAAGTCCACTAACCCTTTAAACCAAAAAGAAACAACTTTTTCAGCCCGCGGTTACCCGACACGTATTGCTCGCGTAAAGTCTCAACCGGACATATCAATTATTTTTAATAGAATTATTTAAAAAAAAATTTTCGAAATATCATACATTTCGAAAAAAATTAATTATTTAAACTAATGTTTATAAAATTCTTATGAAGAATTCAATTATTTTCAAAAATAACAAAATTGTTCACGGAAATTTAATTATTTACAATAATAATAAAATTTTTCGCAATAATTCAAATAACAAAATTTTCACAGAAATTCAATTCTTTTTAAACATTTTGATAAAATTTTTCGCAATAATTTAATTATTTTTATAAATAATAAAATTCATCGCAGGATTTCAATTATTTTTAATACAATTTTACAGAAATATAAATAATTATTCTTAAAAATTTAATTTCAATTTCTCGAAAAAATCAATTATTTAAAAAATGTTTTGTAAAATTCTTTAGAAGAATTCAATTCTTTACAAAAATATTAGAATTTTTCACAGAAATTCAATTATTTTCGAATATTTTAATAAAATTTTTAAAAAGAAATCAATTATGACGATAAATATCAAAATTATCCCCGAAAATTCAATTATTTTGAGGCATTTTAATAAAATTTTTTGCAAAATTCAATTATTTTTATAAATAACAATATTCATCACAAGAATTCAATTATTTTTAATAGTAATACACTTCTTCTTAGAATTTCAATTATTTTAAAAAATTCTAATAATATCGTTTGCATTAATTCAATTATTTTCATAAATAATCAAATTCTTCTGAGGAATTCAATTATTTTTGAAAATTTTTAATAAAATTCTTGGCAACTATTCAATTATTTTCATGAATAATAAAATTCATCGCGGGATTTGAATTATTTTGAATACAATTTTACAGCAATTTCTCAAAAATGTAATTATTCTCAAAAGTTTAATTTTATTTCATCGAAAAAATCAATTATTTAAAAAAATGTTTCTTTAAAATTCTTTGGAAGAATTCAATTATTTACAAAAATATTAGAATTTTTCACAGGAATTCAATTAGTTTTAAATATTTTAATAAAATATTTCGAAAGAAATCAATTATTTTCAATAAAATTTTAAAAATTAATCTAAGTTAAAATTAAATTAAAAAATTGAATTATTTTCAAAAATAATAATATTCATCACAAGAATTCAATTATTTTCAAAAATAACAAAATTTTCACAGAAATTCAATTCTTTTTAAACATTTTGATAAAATTTTTCGTAATAATTAAATTATTTTCATAAAAAATAAAATTCATTGCAGGATTTCAATTATTTTTAATACAAAGGCTTCAATATAAAATTTTTAAAAATTTCAATTTTTAATGAATTTAAATAGAAATTTTAAGAACAACTGATTACAGAAATTCAATTATTTTCAAAAATTTATAAACATTCTCGTCGAAATTTCAATTATTTTTATAAATAATACAATTCTTCTCCAAAATTCCATTATTTTAAAAAAATTTAATAAAATTCTTGGCAAAATTTCAATTATTTTTAAAAACTTTTCTCATTTCAATTATTTTTAATATCTACTATTTTAATAAAATTTTCCAAAAGAATTCAATTATTTAAACGAAATTTTAATAAAAATTTCACTGGAATTCAATTACTTTCCAATTTTTTATAAATTTCTTCGCACCAATTCAATTATTTTTAATTTTTAATAATAAAGTTTATCGAAAGAATTCAAATATATTCAAAGAATAGAAAAAAATAGTTCTAAGAAATTCAATTATTTCGATAAATTTTAATAAAATTCTTTTAAAAATTCTATTATTTGAAAAAATTTTGAGAAAAATCTTTACAAGATTTAGTTAATAAAATTGAAATTTTAATAAAATTTTCCTATTCAATTTAATTATTTTCAATACAATTCTTCTTAAAAATTCAATTATTTTCACAAATAATACATTTTTTTATTGGAATATTCAATTATTTGAAAAAAATTTGAATAAAATTCTTCGTAAGAAATCAATTATTTTCATAAATAATAAAATTTTTTTCGAGAATTCAATTATTTCAAAAATTTTGAGATAATATGCTTTATAAATTTGAAAAATTAATAAAGTTGACTATAGAATACAATTATTTTCGTGAAATATAACATTCCTTATAAGAATTACAATTTTAAACTTTTATTGAATTAAATTTTCTAAAATTGAATTTTTATTCATTTGAATTTTCTAAAATTGAATTGTTATTCATTTGAATTTTTTAAAATTGAAATTTTATTCATATGAATTTTCTAAACTTGAATTTTTATTCAATTATATTTGTACTCAAATTTCGAAAAATTCATTCGAAAATTAAATTTTTCCTTTCAAATTTTTTATTTTTATTCTCTTTCTCTGTTTTTCCAAAAGATATCATCGATAAAAAAATGCAACGACAGCAATTCATTGCACGAGAGTTTAAACGAAAAAGAGGGAAAATTACCAAATAATTTGGACGCGGAAATGGCGATTTTTGAGGATTCAATAAAAAACGAGAATTTATCAACAATGAAACACGAGGGTTTCAAGTCGGCATTGGAAATTTCCAAAATGTCATCGTCAATAAAAAAATCAGATGAAAAATCAAATGAAATTAGTAATTTACAATTAAAAACAAATACAACGAATATAAACAACGATAAAAATTCATTGCCAAATCTCAATAATATTGAGTGTTTGAAGAATATTCAATTTGACGGTTTCAAGACGGCATTGGAAATTATTAAAAATCAAGAGGCCGCGAGGGAGAAGGAGAAGAGGAAAAAAATCTCCAACACCGATGACGAGGAGGAGAAAAAAAAATTGAAGAAAAATGAAAATGGAAAGTTAAAGGAATTTTTTAAAAAGGAAAATTGTGAATTAAAAGACGAGGCGAAGGAGGAAAGTGAAAAAAGTGTGACGAATAAATTGAAAATTGATAAGTTTGAGCAACAGGATAAAATCAAAAAGCGACAAGCGAGGGATATGTTGTTTGATTGTGAACCACGTGAATCGCCGAGGAAGAAAGGAATCGATCAACAAAGTGTAAGAAGGACAATTGAAATTATTGGGAATAATGAAACGAGTGTAAAATCGTCGTCCGCGTCATCGTCATCGACATCAGTGGCAGTTGCGAAAGATGTGAAAAATTCACGAAGAAAATCGAAAATCGATGAGAAAAATTCGAAAAGTTTGAAAAGTTCAAACAGTTCGAAAAATGGGAAAAGTACGAAATCAAGTGATAAGGATTATAAAAAGGACGTGAATGTTGCATTACATTGGAAAATATCGGACATAACGAAAAAAAATCTTCAAGAATATTTTCCCTCGCCCGATATTCCCGATAGTGAAACATTTAAAATAATTTGCCGAAAAATGGTGCATCAATTACTCGCCAAACGAATGTCAGGTAAAAATATTTTTTCAACTCAATTTTAAAATATTAATATTTATTTTTTTTATCAGTCTTTCGTATTTATTTGATAAAATCTACTATTTTACTACTTTCCTTACGATTTTTGCTAAATTATCAAATAATACAATTTTATTTTACAAATTTAAAATTATTTTTAAAATTATTTTTTAAAATTATTAGTTTTAAAAATTATTTCTTTTTATATTTAAATACTTCAATTCTCGTAGAAATTTCTAATAAGAATTTAATTATTTTCCATGTCATTTTAATTCAATATTTTTAAAAAATTCATAATTTTCAAAAATTTTAATAAAATTCGTCAATAATATTCAATTATTTTCAATAATAATAAAAATCTTTGAAAAAAAGTCAATTTTGACTTTGAATTATTTAAAAAAAATTTTAATAAAATTCAATTATTTTGATAAAAAATAAAATTCTCCACAAAAATTCAATTATTTTTAAGAATAATGGAATTCCTCGAAAGAATTCAATTATTTTAAAAAGTCTTGAAAAAATTTTATAAAAGAATTCAATTCTTTTCAAATATTCCTCGAAAGAATATAAATTTTCTTCGAAACAAATGAATTTGTATTTTTATAAATTTCATTGTTTTTTTTTATTATTTTTTTTTATTTTATCATTTCTGTAACAAATAAAGAAAAAATTCAATTATTTTCAAAATTTAAATTAAATTCTTAAAGAAGAATTCAATTTAAAAAAAATTTTAATAACATTTCTCGAAAAAAATTCAATTACATTCCAAATTTAAATGAAATTCCTCGCAAGAATTCAATTATTTTCTAAAATTTTTCTAAAATTCTTTATAAGAATTCAATTGATTTCAAAAAAAAAATTTGATAAAATACTTTAAAAAAAAAAATTCTTAAAAAAGAATCTTACAAAACGAATTCAATTTTTTATAAATTTTAATAATATTTTTAACAAAAATTCAATTAGTTTCAAAAATTTTAATAAAATTCTTTGCAAGAAATCAATTATTTTCGTAATTAATAAAGTACTTCCGAGAAATTCAAATATTTTATAAAATTTTTATAAAATTCTTTTTAAGAATTCAATTAATTTCAATATAATTTTGAATTAAATTCCTGAAAATAATTTAATTATTTTCACCAAATTTTCATAAAATTCTTCAATAGAATTAAATTATTTTCAAAAACTTTAATATAATTCTTAGTCAAAATTCAATTATTTTGATAAATAACAAAATTCTTCACAAGAATTCAATTATTTTCGTATAAATTAAATTTAATTAAATTTAATTTAATTTTAATTAAATAAAGTTCTTTGGAGAAATTCAATTATTTTAGAAAATTTCGATTATTTACAGTGCAATTTTGATAAAATTCCTCGAAAGAATTTAATTTTTCTTCGAAACAGTTGAATTTTGTATTTTTACAAATTTTGTTGCTTCTTTTATTATTTTTTTTTTACTATTTTATCATTTTCATAAGAAATAAAAAAATTCAATTATTTTCAAAATTTAAATTAAATTCTTCAAAGGAATTCAAATTTTTTGAATTTTAATAATATTTCTCAAAAAAATTCAATTTCTTTCAAAAATTTTAATAAAATTCTTCACAAGAATTCAATTATTTTCTAAAATTTTTGTAAAATACTTTATAAGAATTTAATTAATTTTAAAATTATTTCAAAAACAATTTTAATATAATTAAATTATTAAAAAAAATTTAAATGAAATTCTTAGCAAAAATTCAATTATTTTGATAAATTTTTCTAAAATTGTTTATAAGAATTCAATTATTATTTTCTAAAATTCTTTATAAAATTCTCTATAAGAATTGAATTAACTTCAAATGACAAAATACTTTAAAAAATTTCTTTCTTTTTCAGAGGAAAAAGACATACAAATTTTCGTCAAGAAGAATTTAGCTTTTTTCAAAAAAAAATTGCTGAGCAAGACTTAAAAAAAATTAGGACGTTATTTTCATCAATACTGAACTGATATATTTTTTTTTTTTTTTTATACACAAAGGGAAATCTGATTTAAAAGTATGTAACAAAAATCAAGTTCCTATTTCAATTATTATAATAATATTTATTAAATTATAATTAATTTTTTTTTCCATGTTTGTTCGGTTGTTCCATTGTGAGACATTTATTATTATAATTATAATCGTTACGATAAGCTGCTAGTTTTTAATTTATTAATTAAAATTATATTTATATTAGTAAAAAAAAGAAGAAATTATATTATTCGTTTGAAACTTTCCATAAAAGATGTGAAAGAAATTTTAATCTGATTGTTTCATTTTGAATAATTTCGTTGTACAAAAGAAAAAAAGATTAGTGAAAGAATACAAATTACTTATTTTTTTATATATAGATATGAATTATAGGGAAATTTTTTCGATTCGAGAAAATTTTTTTTTTCTTTCTTCTAGTTTTCAAATATTTCATTTTTTCTTTACTGCATAAATTTATTGTAGAATTTAATTCTGAATGGAGGAGAAAATGTATTTGAATAAATTTAATTTTCACAATGAATAATAGTGATTGATAAATTTTATTTATTTATTATTTTTTTTTATTTATATTTTGAAATTTAAATACTTTTCTTTTTTCAACTAAAAAATATTTTTCTTTTTGCAACGGAAAAATATTCTTTTTGTAATTAAGAATATTATTTGTCTTTTTGTAACTAAAAAATATTTTCTTTTTGCAACCAAAAGAATTTTTTTTTGCATTTAAAATTATTTTACTTTTTGCAACAAAAAATATTTTTTTTTGCAATTAATAATATTTTTAACTTTTAGCAATTAAAAATATATTTTTTGCAACATTTTTCTTTTTACAAACAAAAAGTATATTATTTAGTAATTAAGAATATTTTTATTTTTGCAAATAAAGAATATTTCTCATTTTGCAACTAAAAAATATTTTTCTTTTTGCAACCAAAAAATATTCTTTTTGCAACTTTTTTTTTATAAAAAAAAAAATATTCTAGTTGAAATTAAGATTATTTTTCTTGTTGCAATTAACAATATTTGTCTTTTTGCAATTTTTTTCTTTTGCAACGAAAAAATATTCTTTTTGCAATTAAGATTATTTTTCTTTTTGCAACCAAAAAATATTTTTTTTTGCAATTAAGAATATTTTTTTGCAACTTTTTTCTTTTTGCTACCAAAAAATATTCTTTTTGCAAATTAAGAATATTTTTATCTTTTTGTAACCACAAAATATTCTTTTTGTAATTAATAATAATTATTTTGCAACTTTTTTCTTTTGCTACTAAAAATATCCTATTTGCAATTAAGATTATTTTCTTTTTGTAATCAAAAAATATTTTTGTTGCAAGAAATAATATTTTTCTTTTTGCAACTAAAAAATATTGTTTTTAGTTAAAAAAAAAAGGAATTTCTTTTAGTTAAAGGAAGAAAAATAGTGTATCTAATTGAATTGTAAGGAGAAAAATAATTTTTAGTTGACAAAAGAAAAAAAATTCTCAGTCGGAAAAAGAATTTTTTTTGGTTGCAAAAAGAAAAAAAATCTTATTTGCAAAAAGAATAGTTTTTAGTTGTAAAAAAAGAATATTATTAATTTCGAAGAGAATATTTTTTTGGTTGCAAAAAGAAATATATTCCTAATAGCAAAATGAAAAATATTTTTTCTTTTTGCAACTAAAAAATTTTCTTTTTGCAATATTAAGAATATTTTTTTTTGCAAAAAAAGAATTTTCTTTTTACAGTTAAGTTTATTTTTCTTTTTGCAAACAAGAATATTTTTTTTCATTTGCAACTAAGAATATTTTTTTTTCTTCTTCCAAAATAAAAAATATTTTTCTTTTTGCAATTAGGAATATGTCTTTCTTTTTTTGCAAATATTTTTTTCGATCTTTTTCCATTTTGCAAACAAAAAATATTGTTTTTGCAATTAAGATTATTTTTTCAACTAAAAAATATTTTTCTTTTTGCAACCAAAAATAATCTTCTTGCAACTAATAAATATTCGTTTTGCAATTAAGTTTATTTTTCCTTTTGCAACTAAGAATATTTTTTTTCTTTTGCAACTTTTCTTCTTTTTGCAAATTAAGAATATTTGTCTTTTAGCAACTAAAAAATATTTTTCTTTTTGAAATTAAGAATATTTTTATCTTTTTGCAACTTAAAAGTTTTCTTTTTGCAATAGAGAGAATATTTTTTTTGCAACTTTTTTCTTTTTGCAACCAAAAAATAGTTTTTTTGCAATAAGGAATATTTTTTTTGCAACTTTTTTCTTTTTACAACCAAAAAATATTTTTTTGCAATTTTTTTCTATTTGCAACTAAAAAATATTTTTTTTGCAAACCTATAAATATTTTTTTTGGAATTACGAATATTTGTTTTTTTGCAACTTTTTTTTTGTAACGAAAAATGTCCTTTTTGCAATTAAGATTATTTTTTTTTATGCAACGAAAAATTATTTTTATTGTAATTAAGAATGATTTTCTTTTTGCAACTAAAAAATATTCTTTTTTTAATGAAGAATATTTTTTTTGCAAATAAAAAATATTCTTTTTGCAGTTAAGTTTATTTTTCTTTTTGCAATTAAGAATATTTCTCTCTTTTTGCTAATAAGAATATATTTTTTTATCTTTTTCCGTTTTACAACTAAAAAATATTCATTTTGCAATTAAGATTAATTTGTTTTTGCAACTAAAAAATATTTTTCTTCTTGCAATTAAGAAAATTTCTTTCTTTTTGCAAATAAGAATATTTTTGTTCGATCTTTTTCCGTTTTGCAACTAAAAAATATTTTTTTTTGCAACCAATAAAATATTTTTTTTGCAACCAATAAATATTTTTTTCCAATTAAGAATTTTTGTCTTTTTGCAACTTTTTTCTTTCGCAACGAAAAAATATCCTTTTTGCAATTAAGATTATTTTTCTTTTTGCAACAAAAAAATATTCTTGTTTCGATTAAGAATATTTTTCTTTTGCAATTAAAAAGGTTTTTATTGCGACCAATAATATTTTTTCTTTTTGCAACTAAAAAATATTTCATTTAATTAAAAAAAAGGAATATTTTTGGTTGCAAAAAGATAAAAATATTTTTAATTGCTATAAGAAAAATACTTTTTGGTTGCAAAATAAAAAAATAAACTTAATTGCAAAAAGAATATTTTTTTTGTTGCAAGAAGAAAATCATTCTTAATTGCAAAAAGAATTTTTTTTTTGTTGCAAAAAGATAAAAATATTCGTAAATTGCAAGAAGAAAAATATTTTTTGATTGCAAATGAAAAATAAACTTAATTACAGAAAGAATATTTTTTAGTTGCAAAAAGAGAAATATTCCTAATTGCAAAAAAATATTTTTTGGTTGCAAAAAGAGAAAAGTTGCAAAAAAAAATATTCTCTATTGCAAAAAGAAAACTTTTTAGTTGCAAAAAGAAAAATATTTTTTGTTGCAAAATAAATAATAAACTTAATTGCAAAAAGAATTTCTTTTGGTTGCAAATAGATAAATATTCTTAATTTTCAAAAAGAATATTTTTTAGTTGCAAAAAGAAAAATATTCCTAATTGCAAAAAAATATTTTTTGGTTGCAAAAAGAAAAAAAGTTGCAAAAAAAATATTCTTAATTGCAAAAAGAATATTTTTAATTTGCAAGAAGATAAAAATATTCTTAATTGCAAAAAGAAAAATATTTTTTTAGTTGCAAAAAGCAAAATAAACTTATTTGCAAAAAAGAAAGAAATTGCAAAAAAAAATATTTCTATTTGCAAAAAAGAAAAATGCCGTTTCCTTTCGCAACCAAAAACTTATTTTTCTTTTTCGCAAAATAAAAAAAAAACTCTTTTGCTCATTTTTATCATACGAACGAAAATTCGCAATTATTTTATTATAATACACAGTAGAACGTGAGATGTCACTGGGCGCCTTGTCTCCTGGGAAACGAAATCGCGGCTCGTGCTGCGCGTGTCGACAAAACGAGGTGAGGGACTTGGAAAAAGAGCAAGGTTGACGTTTCGCATGAAAATTCTCTCTCCTCGCGAGTGATGATGAGAGTTGTGTATTGTATGTGTGTGATTCCACTCGTGGTGCGTGTCAAAATGAGTAGTACCATGTTCGACTCTTGATTTTTCAGTTCCCAAGGTCGCGGCGGGCGAGTAGAGGCGTGTATATTATTTACACAACCAAAAAAAAGAAAGAAAGAAAGAGTGCCGCTCATTTTTCTTTCGCACTAAAAAACAAGAGTAGTAGCTCGCTTTACAAATTAATATCTCTGTTTTCTTTCTCTCTCTCTAACTTTTATCATGTAGCAAAATATTGTTGTGTTTGTGGCCAGTGTTAATAATTCTCATTCTCGCCTTCGAAATATTAGTTTCGTAAATAATGGAGGCGAGTTTATCATCCATTTTGTGCTTGAATTTATTATAATAATAATAAATCGTTGGAATTTTTCTAAATCGACCTTGAAAAATTTCTCGTTATTTTGTGGGAATATTGTTGAGGGGGGTGTGGGGGAGGGGGAAGGGTGACACCACACATTTTGCTCTGCTGTGGTTCGTAGTTTGTTCATGGAGAGGCAAGAGTGTCGAAAGGATTTGCGAATTGAGAAGAAATTCACAGGGGATATAAAAGGAGGATGTGCGTTGAACGATGCACCGAATGAGAATGAGGAGACGATTTCAGGAGGGCATAAGGGAGGAGAGAACGTCCTTTCAGGTGGTGGTGGTGCAGCTCATCAAGAGGTGGACAAGCGCCAAGTCGACGGTGAAGGAGCGGCTTTTACAAAAGGGGAAACTGGAGTGGGAGTCAGTGCCGATACACTCAACGAAATCGCCGCCAAAGTTCAGGTATAGAAAAGAGAAAAATTTACATTTTTTTTATTCCTTTCTCAACTATAAAAATTTTGTTTTTTTTTTCTTTAATTTAATTTCTTTAATTAATAATTCAATTTCTTTACCTTTGACTGCATTTTTAGGTTCAAATAAAAAAAAAAATAGACTGACTAAAAAAAACAGTCAATTTTTTTTTTAAATAATTGTTTTCAAAAAAAATTTTTTTTTGAAAACAATTATTTCAAAAAAAAAAAAAATATTTTAGTCGAGTGAATTAAATTTTTTTTCTATATAATTTTAATAAAAGCGCATTTTTATTAAGTGTGCCATGTCGATTATTCGATTCATCGAAAAAACAAACAGTAAAAATAGTTTTAGCGGAAGTTAGAGTGATTTTAATTTTCGAAGTGGATCAGCTGCTACAGATCCGCCATTTTTGCAACGCTTCCCCTTTCTCAGAATATAAACAGGACAGGGCCGTAGAGGGGAAATTCGGGCCCCGGACCGTATTTTTAAGAAAATAATTTTTTGTTAAGAAAAAGAAAAAATAACCCAGTAATTTTTACTTATATCATCCGATAATTTTAATTAGGATTATATTTTTAAAAACATATTATTATGTTTTTACATATTACCATTCACTCCATACCAATATATTACCTTCACTCAAAAATAATTTAACGTCTGGGTGACGGTATCTAATCTCTACATAATAGTTTTTGAATCTCGACAAGATTTTATGGTCACTCAGTCCAGAACCCAAGAATCATATTTTTTTAAAATATTTTAGAAGCGGAACCCAAACAATTTAAGGACTGGGTGACGGTACGCATGAACTATCTATACAATAATTTTGAATTTTGTTTAAGTTTTTATAGTCATTCAGTCCAGAACCCAGAGTTTTTTTACAAAGAATAATCTTTTTTTTTAATATTTAAGAACCCAGAACCCAAATAGTTTAAGGGCTAGGTGATAATTTGGTTGTACTAAAATTTAAACTTATCGTAGTATAATTTTGAATTTTGACATTCATGGTCACCCATCATAGAACCCAGAGCTCTCAACCAAGAATTATCGCTTTGTATTATTTTATAGAGTTAACCCCAACAATTTAATGTCTGGGTGACAATTCGCATTAACTATCTACAATAATTTTGAATCTCGACTAAGTTTTTATAGTCATTCAGTCCAGAACCCAGAGTTTTTTTTACCAAGAATCATCTTTTTTTCAACATTTAAGAACCCAGAACCCAAACAGTTTAAGAGACTAAGTGATAATTCAAAATTATTGTAGTAAAATTTTGAATTTCGACAAGTTAATAATATTCATGGTCACCTAGACCAAAACCCAAATAATTTAAGGATTGGGTGACAGCATCTAATCTCTATAATAATTTTTTAATTTCGACAAGATTTTATGGACACTCCGTCCAGAACTCAAGAATAACATTTTTTAACATTTAAGCACCCAGGTAATTTTTCAAAATTTTGTTTTCGTTTTGTACACAAAAAAAATAGAGAGAAACCTGAAACCCAAGCACCCTGGTAATTTTTGAAAATTCCATGTTGTTTTTAAATAAAATAAATAGTTAACTTTAAATTCTAAAATTAAGTAAGTGATAGACCGCAGTTATTTATTCTATTCGATCTTTGAATATGAGTCTAAAGTCTAGCAATATTCATGAAGCTAAAGATGGCACCTATAGTTATTACCACCCATTTAGCACCTGGAAATTAAATTTGAAACTTAAATATTTTTTTTTATTTAAAATCAACGTAAAATTATAAAAAAATTACCTGGGTGCCAGCTTCAGAACCCTTTCAATTTTGTAAATTAATTTTTAACGTTTAATATTTTTCAAAAGCTGAAAATATTACACCCACTTATCAGCACCCTGGAACTTTTTTGAAATTTTATGTTGTTAAAAAAAATGATTTATTGAGTTTTGTTCTTCAATTAGATCTTCAAAAATCATTTTGAAGTATGCTCTTCTGTAAAGAAACCCAGTCTATCAATTATCACCAATAATAAAAACTTTAAAAATTAAATGGGTGCTGATAACTTGGTGCTAACTTTAGCTTCATCTTCATGAAGCTGAAACTGGCACCCATTTGGTTTTTAAAAATTAAATATTTGTTAAATTTAAAATCAACGAAAAACTTACCTGGGTGCCAGTTCCAGCTTCATTTTCGATTCAATACCAATATAAAATTGTCAAAAATTACTTGGGTGCCAGATTCAGGTTCATTTTTGGTTCAATACCAATATAAAATTGTCAGAAATTACCTGGCTGCCAGTTTCAGGTTCATTTTTGGTTCAATACCAATATAAAATTGTCAGAAATTACCTGGGTTCCAGCTTCAGATTCATTTTTTATTCAATGCCAATATAAAATTGTCAAAAATTACCTGGGTTCCATTTTTAGGTTCATTTTCGGTTTAATACCAATATAAAATTGTCATAAATTACCCAGGTACCAGTTTCAGCTTCATTTTTGTTTCAATACCAACATAAAATTTTCGAAAATTACCTGGGTGCCAGTTTAAGCTTCATTTTTGGTTCAATACCAATATAAAATTATCAGAAATTACCTGGGTGTCAGCTTAATAAACTGTCATAAATTTTATTAAGACATTAGCTCAGATTCTAAAGAAAAACACCCTGCGAAAAATGCAACCCACTTGGTTTTGGAAAATTAAATTTAAAATGTAAATATTTTTTTTGTTTGACAGAAGTGAAAAAAATTACTTGGGTGACATAGTTACAGCTTCGTTTTTTGTTACTAACTTCAAATTGGTAAAAATTGTATGGGTGCTCATAGCTGGGTGCCAGGTCCAGGTTCACTTTTTTTAAAAACCAATATAAAATTTTGAATAATTAACTGAGTGCTGATACCTAGGTGTATTTAATTATTAATTATATGGGTGCACATAGATGGGTGCCAGTTCCAGCTTCATTTTTTTTGAAAAACTAATATAAAATTTTGAAAAATTTACTGGGTGTTGATACCTCACACCTGTCTTGAATGAAAAAAAGTTCGTCCCCGATGACTAAAAATATTGGTGGTATATTATGAATCTTTGGACCTCAAATAAACAAAATTTGAATAATACAAAATCATATCTGATCCTCCTGCACTATTTTTATGGGTTGAATGTTACTTAATTCATTATAATGGAAAAATGCTTTATTACGATATTCAAATTAATTCAAGTTATTAATGCAGTTTTCTTTTTAATTACTAAATTGACATATAATTTATGTGACGCTCCACAGTGAAAACAACATAAGGACTCTTTGTGTACTGTGCACGGAAGATTACGCCTAATATTATTTTAATATGTTTGATATATATAACTTCTTGGAAAAGAAAATAGAATTTATCCGGAATTTAATTTTTGATTCATAGGGTAACGGGTACAGTGACCGACACCCGCTTAGTGTACGACACTTCCAATTAAAAATCGCAATAAATATAAAACAATAAATTATTAATGTATATTTTAAAATTATTAATATTATAAAATACAATCTTTTTGGAAGCTATTTAAGTAGTTGCAATATTTAATTTATTATTCACAACATTTTACTTTCTGTAAAGATAACCTCAAAAAGTGAGTTCTTGAGGTTATCTTCATAGAAATTAAAATTATTTCCGAAATATAATCGAATTTAATATTGCTACTAATTTAATAGCTTCCATAAATTGCATTTTATAATATTAACATTTTTAAAATATACAATAATAATGTTTTGTTTTATATTTATTGCGATATTTAATTGAGGGTGTTGTTCACTAAGTAGGTGTCGGTCACTGTACACCTTACTATCCTTTCTGCCCAGGCTAGGCATAAGTCAGGCACTATTTACCCAGCAAACACGTTATATAAGTATTCTATAACAGTGAGGTTACAGTGTTATAGAACATTTGTTCCTAACTAGTTATAGATCTGTGATAGAACCTGATTGTAACAGAGTTCTAGAACATAGTTACAAGTTAGTTACAGAATAGTTCTGTATTATGCTTATGTCACAGTTCTATCACAATGTGATGTAAGAGTTACATAACTTTAATGTCGAAAATTTTCTGTAACTGTTGTTCCAACCTTGTTCTATAACTGTGTATGAACATTGTTGTGTAATTGATCTAAACATCTGTTGCAATGCAGTTCTGTAATATACAGTTTAACATTGTCCGAACAATGTTAAACTCTTCTAACAAATTTGGTGTAGTTCATATTATTTTTAATATAATATAATATAATTCGTAATAATTTATAAAAAATACCTATATGGGTGATTCTTCATTAAGTGGTCACTTTTGCTTCCCCTCTATTTCCTATTTAATAACTTGAAAAATTGTTATCTAATCTACTTCAAACTTTTGCATAATTAATCTTCAATATGTTTTTTAGTAATATCATAATCGAAAAATTTTTTAATTAAAACAAAAGTTGTAATTCAATTGCAAATGTTCAAAAAATGCACATTTGTCGTTTCTCCACACATGAATCATGAAGTTTAATATGTTTTATTTTGCACAAACTTTATTTTAAACGTTTTTTTATTTATTCTATTCGAAAGTTCATCTCAAAAACTAAGTTTTAGTGTGTCGTTTTCTAATTTCCATTAAAAAATCTGTGTAAAAATATTTTTTTAATATTTTCCCCAATCTTTTTTTATTTAGAACTGGAGTTTACAATTTCATTGATTTTCATTAATTTTATTCCCTTTTTTAGTGCGATTTTATTTGCCATTAATATTATTAAGTTAATAAGTTGTATTTATGTTAAATTTGCAAAAAAAAATATAATTTGTAGATTTAAAACTACAAAAGTTACTATTATTTTATAGCGTATTTTAATGGTATGTAACTCCATACCCGACAAAATTGCCGAATTCTAAATGTATAAAAAAAAAATAAAAATAATAGTGATTTAGAGTAAGCAAATCTCTTTAATAATCTGCAAAAATTGTTTATTTTTATGAATTTTTACGGTTTCAATGAATTTTT